TAGCTCCTAATACACTTTTTATTACTGGTAACTCTATCACCTAAGAATAAGTGACATGTACTTCCGTTGACTTGTTACCACATGGTATTTCTGTTAATGTGACTCTATTACTAAGAATTTGGATATCACATTTGTATAATTAAATACTAGGGATGGTAAAATGGGCTAGGTTCGGCGGGTCGGCCCGCCAGCCCTCCATAATATGGCGGGACAGGTTGGTGTTTTCAGCCCACTGAGTCCGCTTTGACCCGCCCGCCAACCCGTCGGGCCAAGCCGCGAGACGGTGGGCCAGCCGCGCGCCGCGTAATTAATAAAAAATTAATTTTTTATTATAATAAAATTTTTAAAAAGAGAATTAAAAAAGTTTCATTCTTACGGAAAATATTCTTCTTCCCGAAACATAACCTTCTCTCCTGTTCTCCTTGTTTATCCTAAGCACGAATTATTTTTATCTTTATTACTTGAATTAAAGGTGTAAGAATTACTCAACCAAGAATAATATGAAGTTTTATGAAATAAAAATGATATAGGTATTTGAATTTTTCAATATAAAAAATATAAATTTTATAAGTTTAACGTTATTTATATATATATATATATATATATATATATATTTTGTCATTATTTATTATTATATAAATTTTATTATTGTTCTAAATTATAATTTCTTAAAATAATGTATTGATTTATATTATTAAATTGAAATAATATATATATATATTGAATTATTGATAAACAAATAATAATCTTATTATTAAATTTATTAAAAAAATTATTTTTTTCTAAATTATGGCGGGCCAGTCTACAACCCGCCAACCCACCCCTTAGCAGGCGGACCAAGGTCTACGGCTCGTCATGACTATATCGAGTCAGCCCGTCCCGCCCCGCTTTTTGCAGGTCAAAGGCGGGGCGAACCAAAACGGGACGGGCTGACCCATTTTGTCATCCCTATTAAATACTAACACTACACACCAAGACAAGTCATAGTAGATTTACTCAAATTTCGATAGATAACCTCACTTAACATTCATCATACAAACTAAATATTTTCATTCATAAATAAATTTGTTCACATATATTGAAATCATATTAAAAAAAATTATAAATTAAATTATACATTGTTAAACCGTCCAAGAAACTACTAAAAAAGGTTAAAAAAGTTTTTTTTCTTCTACAAATTTCGCTTAACAAAATTCAAAATGATTGAATAAATTTCAAATGACTAAACAAAATTAAAATCATTGAGTGGATTATGTAGAAAAGTTATAGTTTTTCCTCTCTTACATAGTTTATTAAGCCAAACTTATTCTATTAGTTAAAATTTTCATAGAAGTGAGGTTCCAATATTGCATTAAAGGCATTAAGCAACATTAAAAAAAATGAAAAATGAGTTTAAATCTAAGAAATAATGTTAGACTTCTCAGAGAGGTCTCAATGAAAATAAATTTTTGTGAGAATATATGATTTTTACTTTCGTCTAAACAAGTCAACTAGAAAAAACACATGTTATGTTATATCCCTCTTCGTTTTAGGCTAAGTAGACCAGTTTTGATTCATTTTAGTTATATTAAGATGCAAATTAAGTAAACCTTTGTGACAGTCATCCAACATTATCTTCAGGTCATCATAATCATAATGGGTACACATATTTTATTCCTAGATCTTAACACATCATTTGAATAGTATCTAACAACTCTATTATGTCTTATACTATGATCTAATTAACAATTATTTTTTCTGGTAAAAAAAATTAGTAAAACTAGCACTATTACGTAATATACTTTCCATGTCGTCATTTAACGTTGGTTTTCAGATGAACCGACGTAGAAAGTGTTTTTAATTTTTTTTTAAATTTGCTTAAGTTAGAGAATTGTTACTGACAAGATTTGATCCCAATATCTTAGTGATCCCAATATCTTAATGTTGGAAACTGATACTCCAACTACTAAACTACTATAATTTTTGGTAATAATTTACAAATAAATTATATTTATATCCGTGTAAATATATAAATATAAAATATATAAATACAAATATATTTATATATTTTGATATATTTATATATTGGATGTGAGGGCGCGCTCGTAGGTGAAAGTGATATTGACTCTCGATTAAGCTGAAAATACGTTTAAAGCTCACTGAAATTCACTCATTCAAACGAAAATATCTTGCTTGAACGAAAATTGATATTTTTCGCTTGAGCAAATGTGTCGCTTGAGCGAATGACGCATTTTCCAAATTTATTTTATATCATTATATAGATAAATTATAAAAATTATATTCTGTCATTAAATTATAAACCCATATAAAGAGACTTGCTCACAAATTTGGCCTTAAATTTTGAAAACCTACTCGACGGACACTTTCACATTCGAGCGTGCCCTCACATCCAACATATAAATATATAATTATATAAATATATCAAAAAATATAAATATATTTGTATTTATATATTTTATATTTATATATTTTATATTTATATATTTACACAAATATATATTTATTTATTTATATTTTCAACGTTGTTTGATACAACATCGATTGTAAAATCCAAGAACTTCCAAAACCGACGTACAAGATAAATTGACACCTAAATACATATCTCTAAAAAATTCACCACATTTTAATCGTATTTTGACTTCAAATATCATCTATTACATTTTAATAATATTTTTATCTCTTTTATCTCATATTTAATTTCTTTTAAGCAAAAACACATCAAATATATCAAAGACATCCAAATTTTCAAGGTAACCCACCATAACGAATATAATAATTTGTCATGAGAATTTTGTTGTCTTGAAACATAGGTTATAACTCTTCTCTCTTCTATCAAAACACAAGTCTTATGTAATGTATCAATAACATTTGAAATCATTTTTAAACAACTTATAAATTAAATTATGCATTTTAAAATCTTAAAATAAACTACTAAAAAGAGTTAAAACAAAATTACTTTGTTCATCAAAATTTAAAAAATCGATAGAATTTTAAATAGAGCGAATTCAAAATAATTAAATAATAATAAATATAATAATATCAATTAATTTTTTATATTATATATTAATAATATATTTGACCATTAACTTTAATATATGTTATTTATAATGATAATTTTTTTAACAATAATATAATATATTATTAATTAGGAATAAAATTACTTAATTTTAAAGAACTTAAAAATAAAATATTTAATTAAAATTATATATAATTAAAATTTATATTAATAAACTGTATTATATAAAAATTTTATCTTTGATATTTACATGGATCATTTTGATCTTTCGATGTTTGAAAATGTTATTTAAATTTTAAATTATACTTAAATTTAACAATTAATTTTGATTTTTCACCTAGATTAAATATAGTTTTTCTTACTAAATTTGATCTTTAGTAATTTTTTATTATAATAAAATTAATTAAAAGGAATAAATTCATATTATTTTTAAACTTGAGAATTAATTTATTAACATTTTAAACCTATGGACTAAAATAAATTAAAAAAAAATGAATAATTTTTTTTCGTGAAATTATAAGAACGAAAAATAGATTTAAATCTATTTGTTATTATACATTTAATATTATTTATATATTTGTACAATTAATTTAAATCGGGTTTATCATATTTATAAATATGATATCAAATCCAATTTTGATTGAATACATTAAATAAAATCCAACACACAAAAAATATAATTTAATACTTTACATATTAAAAAATTTACCTGTTCAAAAGAATGATGATCAAAGTTGGTATTACTCTACTACTACAAAGAATATCAATTTGAGAACACAATAAAAACAAATTTATTTTCTGTTTCATCTAATTATGAAATAATGGGCTCTTATTTTATCAATTTTAATTTTAATTTTAAAAATATTTTTTAATTAATTTTATTATACCAGTTTTAATAATTATCAATGTTATAGGTTTTTAAAGTAAAAAACAAAAAAAATACCCTGAGAAATCATGTTGACAATTTTAAAAGTATTTTATAAAATTTAATAAATGTATCTTCAATTACAGTTTATTTATTATTATTATTATGATTAAAACTTAATTAGATTTGCAGTCTTCATAATAAGGATGTTTAGGCTTTAGTTTCTATTTTATTTTATTTTATTTTTTATTTGTCGTTAACTCTTTTTTTTCATTAAACTTAAACGTAATGGCATCATTATAATAAACATTAACAAAATCATCAACTTAATAATGATATTATTAAAGTGTCGCGTCAACAGAGGGGCTAAAATAAAAATATTAGTTTGATAAAAGTAAAATAAAATAAAATAAAAACATATCTTATTTATAAGGATTAGACTTACACACACACACGTATATATATATATGATAGACAGTTGATCAATTTTTTTTGTCTTAAAGATTAATTTTTGAAGTTCGTTACTCCACCTATTTTGACCCTTATATAACTAATAACTTAAAATTGTTATTAATAAAAATCTATAAGAAAAAATAAAATTTGGAGTAAAAAAATTCTAATTAACCACTACACATTTTTAATTATTATTATTATTATTATTATAAATATGCAAAAATTGATAAATTATATTAATATAAAAAAATAATTGATTTAACAATTTTTTATACGAGCTAAAATAAATATATACATAACATGTTGAATAATTATTAATCAACCTAATGATAAATAAACATAAAATTGAACCAAAATTAAAACAGCCATATATTATGAAATAAATAGTTAAAAAAAAAAGGTTATTGTATAATGGTTATGAGAAAATTGTAGAGTGAGTCAAAGAAAATTGATTTAGAAAATGGATTTGAAAGACTTGGACGAGCAGGCAGAGACGGATTGCAGATTGGGGCTGTTTTCCGCCCGCATCAGAAATGCCAAAATTGTTTACTTTTGTCACTTAATTTCGCTTCTGGCATTTATTTTCAATGATTTCAGTAATCTTGATCATGAACTGAGTCCCCCGTCAGAGAGAGTTCTAATCGAATAAAATCTTAGCTTATAACAATGGCAGCCGTGTCGGGGGGTGAGATATGGAAAGCCCACACGGCCATGGCAATGGTGCAGTTATTCAACGGCGGCTTTCACGTCATCACCAAAGTCGCCCTTAACGTTGGCGTCAACCAAATCGTCTTCTGCGTTTTCCGCGATCTCATTGCTCTCTCCATTCTCGCTCCCCTCGCTTTTATCCGTGAAAAGTATCTTCCTCTCTCTCTCTCTCTCTCTCTCTCTCTCATACATACACACACGTGCGCGCTTTGAATGTGTGTGTTGCTGTATAAGGGGAAGTGAATTGATTGCTTTGGTTGTTGTTTTCAATTTGCTTTATGCAATGCATGTATCATTGGTTGTGTGTTATGCTGGTCCCCAATTTGTACTTCTGTCATCAATTCTGCTTTCTTTCATTACTTCTTATTTTGTTAGGAGGAAAGCCCAGCAGTACAAGAAATCTCTCTAATTCACTCACGACTATTGGTCAAAATTCATTGGAAACTACAAATTTACCAGTGAATTCCATTAAATAAAAAGTGAAACTCACAAAATTGCATTTTCTCTAAAATTTATACTAGTAATAAAGAGTGTGTTGTGTTGTTAACGTTTTTCTTTTCTTCAAACTAATTTGACAGATTGTTTTACACTTTTCTGCACCCCCCCAAATGTCATTGTTATCGGTGTATGTGTGTAGGGTGTGTTTAATTGATCTAATTATACAGTTATGTATACCTAAAATCTAGACCTATCTTCCATCTAGAGTTCTAGTTTATAGTATGTTTCAGAAGTTAACTATTAACTTATGGCTTATCAAGGTCGAAGTTTATTTGTTAACGCATCTCAAGTCTGATTCTGGAAATGCTCATACTTGTGGTCAATTTTTGCCTAGATAACTGTTTTTTTGTTGTTCATTTAATTGTGCTATACGGCTATATATATATATATATATATATATATATATATATATATATATATATATATATATATATATATATATATATATATATATATATATATATATATATATATATATATATATATATATATATATATTTAGAAATGAAATTTTGACTTGCTACACTCTTAAACGCATTTCTCACCGTCTTTGATTTACTTCTAATGCAACTGTATCCTAATCATGTCTGGTTTGTAGGCGTACACGGCCACCATTAACTAAACACCTTCTGATGTCATTTTTCTTTCTTGGATTAACTGGGTGAGGTTCTGGATTTAGTTACATATTATTTGTGTTGGTTATGTGTGATCTGTAGTGTTTTATTGATGTAATGGTAATTTGGCTTCTTCATTCATGTTCAGGATATTTGGCAACCATCTTTTGTTTCTTGTTGGCTTAAGCTATACTAGTCCAACGTATGCTGCTGCGGTTCAGCCAGCCACGCCGGTCTTTACTTTTCTGTTGGCTGTAATGATGGGGTCAGTTTCACTCTTTTCAATTTCTACACGTGTGTGTTTTGTCAATTTATTGTTTTCCGGAACACACAATTCCCCACAATTGTTGCACTTAAATTTGTACATTAAGTCAATATACCCCAGGACATAAAGTAATGTGCACCTGATAAACTCATTCATGCAGTACAGAAAGAGTGAACTTGCTAAGGTATGAAGGTTTGGCCAAGGTTGGAGGAACTTTCACCTGTGTTCTAGGCGCTGTACTGATGGTTTTGTATCGTGGTCCGGCATTGATAGGATATTCAGAAACAGACTTTGTATCACACAGTGAAATAAGTGCCAAAGGTCAACCAGAGCCTTCTGGATGGTTAATTAGTGGTTTACTAGATCTCGGATTTGATCAATTTCATCTCGGGGTTTTGTGCTTCGTAGGGAACTGCATGTGCATGGCTGCTTTTCTAACCATTCAGGTTCATATCTTTTTATATTCTTCAAATGTTTGTGATTACAGGAAGCACTAAGAAAAAAAATGGTAGTGATCGCTGCCATTTCTTATCTCTATCATCTGTACTTATTTGTTAAGAGCCAATTCCATTCACTATACACATGTGACTTTATGCTTTAAAATCATAGTTTATGGAGTCAACCAGATTGTTCATCTGGAAAACCTGTGAATGAGCCTCCAAGCCATTTATGTTTAGAGATCTGGTTCAATTTTAAGCATTAACCCAGTCAAACCCTCTTCACTTGCTTCAACCCACCAGACCCTGTTTTCATCTTATTAAACTGCTCGCAGCAATACCACGACAGTTGTGGTGACTGCTGGTGAGAAGTGATTCTACAAGAAGATTGAGTTTGAACAAGAAGATCAAGCTTTGAGGACAACTGAAATGGTGGTTTTCGAAAGTAACAAACTGATAGAGCAATGTGATGAATTGGAAATGAAAAAAAAAAAGGTAGGTAAAACATACGATGAAATATTGAAACAGTAAGATGCAAGCTATAACCAACATGACTAGAATCTTCGAAAACAAGATGTAATGAATACTTTTTAATTCAAAGAATTAATAAAGGTAATATAGAACTCTTTTACTGCAACAATAGCAAGGCTCTACAACAAACTACTACTCTCCATTCTCCATTCATAACTAAGTAAATATGTTCCTTGTGATACCCCTAATACCCCACACCCATATATATGCCAACCAACAACCATATACCACTAGTCAGTAAAATCCCTTGTTGTTTCCTTTTCTCTCTGCCAACTTCGCGTTCTGCCTTTTCCTCCTCCTTGATCTTTCTAGTTTTACCATTCCAAGCCCAGACCCATGTGCCAACTGATGTAGCAGCTGATCCTTTGGACCCAATGCTCATTTTGGGTCTTAATAACAGCTCATTCATCAAAGTCAGTCCAGCCTTCTATGATGAACTACAGAAATATGCTTCAGATAATTATTCTACCATCTTCTCTCGCTGCTGGAAGCTAACACAACAACTGTATTAACATATCATTATAGTCTTCCATGACTTCAGGCAGTTCCATTCCAATTATGTAAATCCTAGGAGCTTATGAGTCTCTTCACCCCAAATGTGCTAGTTGTACAATACCACTTTTCCTGACCTTGTAGAGTCATGACAAGTTGTATTGTACCACTATTCAATGCATGTGATTTCTGGGTTGATCTCCCCGCCCCGAGCTCACCCAATCAACCAATGTTTCCCCAAGAGTACCCAATCATGTGTAACATGTATAACCCTCCATATCAAACAAAAAAGCAGCAACCAGCACGTCAAGTTTTTCCAGCTCAAGTTTAACCATGCTGCGAGAGCCTTGAGCAACTGCCTTATAACCATATCCAAGTTTAATACTGTATCCGTAACTTGCTAACCCATGCATGCCCCAAGTTTTTTGGAAATAAAATTGTGGGTAGCACTTCACAAAATGTGACCTGTACTTGTTAGGACTCAATTGCTAGGTATGGGATGCAAGTATATGATTTATAAGGCTTCAAGCTCTCTAACTATAACAACAACTTTGCAGTATGATTCTCCCAACGTTCTAATCAATTGCTATCAAATCCTTCCACCAGGTCTCTCAGTTGCAAGTGAGCCGCATAAATGATGACACTGCAATTTCAGTGTTTGCCTAGGACTATTTAAAGGGCTAGTGCACAGTCAGGGGTGCGGAGCATGGTGAGATTTAGGATCTATTACAAGTTATTAGACTTGAGTCCTACATGGGGAGTATGGAATTCTAGTATGGTGTCTATAAGGTCTTGGGCTCTCCAACTACAACTGCTAGTTTTTCTTTAACAATCACAATACATCTCCATTAAAAAAATTGTAAATTCACACATATTTTGCATTATCCCAAAGTTGTCATGCTTGTTGTCACACTGAATTATTTATTAGCATAAAAGCCATTCTTCAAATTATGTCATTTAAAATTTCTTCATTGATCAGATTAGCCCTGCTTACTCTGCTACATTTTTTAACAATTTTATGATATTAGGTTCTATTATATTATATGTAACGTATATGTTAGTTATTATTTGAAATATTTCCAGGCTCCACTATTGAAAAAGTATCCTGCAAACCTATCCCTCACGGCATATTCATACTTCTTTGGAGCTGTCCTGATGGTAATTACATCATTCTTTGCAACTAACGAGTCAACTGACTGGAGATTGACACAGTCTGAAACGATTGCTGTTATTTATGCTGTGAGTCACTAGAACTTAAAATCAACCTTCAATATCATGAGTCATTATTAGTTATCTCTGATCATTTTGGTTCATCTTCTGTATTCATCATTTGTGTGGTTTTATTCTTGAACACCTCAAATGCCAATTTTATATTTTTAATGGTGTTAGATTATGTGGTTAAGAAAGGGCTCCCATGCTCCTATCATGAGCACTGTTGTAACGATTCCTCTCTCTAGTTAGTTAGCGTAGTCAGTTAGTTAGTGTCCAGACACACTGAACCTTGTAATCTAATGGTGTATAAATACTGTTGTATCGTTGTATCCTTAAATTCATCAATAATAGAAGAATTTAGTTTTCTTCCTTTACAAGTTTATCTTACTTCTCTTTGGAGCTTTACAAATGAAAGCACACTCACTTGTGTTTAGGTGTTGATATTGTAACAGTACTACTATTTTTTTATCAATTCAAACCTAGTTTTGCATTTGAGGAGAATGAAAAGAGGTTGTTCATGTATCCAGTTTTATAAGATTTCCTCAATTTTTTTCGGTTAATGTTGGACTTAATTTTGATATACTGACAGTAATTTACACTATTTGGCAACCTATATGGTTCCCCTTCCACGCTGACAAAAAGTCTGCAAAATGAAAAAACTCAAACGCCTTGGTTATTAAAATGAAATAGAATTTTTTATTGATACTATGAAGAATTTCACACTGAACTTTGATCAAATTTAAACTCCTGAACTATTGATTCTAATTTGAATGTTGAGCCTGTTTATGTTGGAAGTTCATTGTAGACCTTCAAAAAATAATCCTCAAGCGCATTCTGAAATCTAGTTGCATTTACTATTAACCCGTAGATTTACTTTTTATTAAAAAAATTGAAGTTTCACTATTTATTAATGTAGTTCAAATGTGTTTGTTTTTATATATTTTATGAATTAATATCATAAACCTTGGGTCATATCAGTTGACTATATCTTTGATTAGACACATCATTCATACAAGTATGATGGCACTATTTCAAAAATTCATATATAGATAAAATTATGCTGTTTTGTTTACATGATCTATATTTGTTTTTTATTCTTTTGGTTTCTTTTTACTTCTTAACGTACAGATATTAAATAAAGAAGAAAAAATCACGGAACAAATCACTTAGGATTCAGATGACACCAAATGTATGTTCCAAATGGTGACCAGATTACACCAAATGTATGTTACAAATGATTGCCAAGCCAATGTTAAAGTAACAAAAATCTTCTTTAAATTGTAAGCTGACTGTCTCTCTACCAGGTCAGCATAGTTAGTTTCTCAGTTAACTAAGTTGTTGTTAGTTGTTACCAACTCAGCAAAGTTAGTTAATCTGTTATTTAGCTGTTGTTGGCTTAACAAAGTTAGTTTCTCAGTTTGTTAAGCTGCTGTTGCCAACTCAGTAATAACTAGTTAGCCCTTTTCTATACTCTATAAACTGATCTCCTTCATTATGAGATCAGAAATGAAATACATACAAAGTTCCCAAATATTTTCTCTCTCAATTTAGTTTCTCAGATATCTAAAGCCAAAATCCTGCCCAACTTGAAAAATAAAATCATAGAATCACTAAACAAGTTTGGTAAAGCATCTGCCCCTGGTATGGCATGTTTAATACTAGCAACAAAGTGGTGTCTCACATCCCAATCATATGAATCATAGCCCTCCATTTTGTGACCCAGGCAAACTAGACTTGGCCTTAGAATTGTTCGGGAAACCCATTTATTTGTTAGACCAGTGTTTAGAATAAGATGGGATTTCCTGAGTATGGTTGTATGTTTTGGCGGTTTCATTCTGTCCAGTCATGCTAGAGTAGGCAAAATACAATTAGTATGGTTAGTATTTATTTAGCTATACGCCCCCAGTTGACGGAAGGAATGAAAGCTAATGGGCTAAATAAATGAAGTTGTTTTTATTTGAGACAGCAAAGGAATACTAGTCTTGTTTGTTCCAGCACTTCAGAACTAAGTGATCTTTATTTTATTTTGCTAAACACTGGGTGGGTGATCTATATCTTTTTGATATATTTCTTTGAAGGATTTTTAACATGCAGAGTCTTACATATGTTTCTGTTAGGGTATAAGGTGAAGGAGAAGTTTGTTAAGACAGTATATTAATAAGTTAACTAATTGCTTGAGGTGTTATTTAGTTATACATAGGGTAAGAAGAATAGGAGGAGAAGGGAATTCATTTTGTAGATTGAGCATTAGCTCTTTGTGAAAGGAGAAATCTTTTGTGAAGGGAAAATCTTATTTCTTGTTCTTTCATTCTATTCAATAAACATTTTTTTTTCTCTTTTCAATTCTTGGTTCCTAACAGTTTCCCTTGTTTGTTCAGGGATTTATTGCATCTGCCCTTAATTATGGACTAATTACATGGTGCAACAAGATCTTGGGGCCAGCCATGGTTGCTCTTTATAATCCACTTCAACCAGGAGCCTCTGCTCTCCTATCCAGAATTTTTCTTGGAAGTCCAATTTACATGGGAAGGTACATCTTCTATTACTCATAGTTATTGATGCATACTTTACTAAAAGTGGCTATAACCCTACTCATAGCTACACGTCTTTATTTTCTAAGCAAAATTTATTTAGCTTGTGATGTGTCATATTTACTTAGTTGGTGATTGAAAGAGTTTTTACGAAGCTTATATAAGCTTATGAAAATGATTTATATTCTTACAAACTATTTTCACTTTATTTCAGTAAGCTTCTTTGTGTAGTTTATTGAAACAAGTTTTATTTATTTTTTAAACATTTTGTAAATTTCATGATGAAGTTTATGGGATGAGGTCTCACTAGTTAGAACTTGTCGAACAAGCACGTGATCATGTTGTATACCAAAATGCATCCGTCGTCTACAAAGTTTGTGGAGGCATCCTGGAACAATTTATTCTACTGTTTCAAGTTTCTTACTGTTTTTATTTCTTTATTCATGACAACAGCATCGTAGGGGGGACTTTGATCATTATTGGTTTGTATGCGGTTACTTGGGCGTCTTACAGAGAAAGACACGCAGCTGCTGCGGTTATTTCTCATGGCTCTTGGGTCTCTGAATCACTTCTCCAAGACAAGAATTCTTACAGAGTTAGCATTTTTTCAGGCCCCCCCAGCATGTCCTCAAAGCCTTCAGATTAACGAAATCAATTTTGGATTTCAATGTAAAAAGTTGTCACATAATTCTTTGCTGTCTTCTATGCATAGTTGTTTTGAGGAATTCAAGAGAGTCAACGTTAAATTTTTTTATGAACTTATCTACAAATTTTACTTGGTTACATTTTCAAAATGATTTCATAAGAATTTTGTTTTTAGCAATAATCTTAGATCACCGCAAGATGTCAATTTATTAGAAAGAAAAAAAAAATGTTGTAAAAGTGGGTTTATTGTATTTTGTGTATGTTGTAAGAATAGTTTTATTAACATAAGTTTAGTATGGGGCAATATAACTTTTTTCCTCTAAACAAAATGAGTATTTTGACTTTAAAGCTTTTAAAATATAAATTTTATTACTAAATTTTTACAATTTTACAGATTTTACTATTGAATTTTTATTTTTGTAAATTTTACTACTGAACTTTCAAGTTAAATCCAACTTTATAACCCAAACTCATCCCTTATTATATTTGCATTAAAGCTATCAATTTAGCGCAAAACAAACTATGAATTTCAAATACACATCTTGAACTAAAAAACTCAAAAAATACAATTAGAATTTGGTGCTTTAGAATTCAACACAAGAAAGAGGTTGGTTATATTTTAAATAACTTTGATCCTTTAAAACAAATCAATAAATTGGCTCAAATGATTAAGATTACCACGCTGCAAATAATTTAGTGACTGACAATTCTTCCTTGAAACTAACGGTAGACATAATTCTAAATCATACATAACTTATATGGTGCTTCTCAAAAGATAAATTTCTTTTAAAAACTAAATGGTGTTGCGCTGTAATCGCATTCTACTTTTCATTTCTTATGGTGTTGGATGGTTCAACTTGAAGTTAACAAAACTTAATTCTTTGTGTACTAAGAACGTTGTTTTTAAGAATAAGTAGGCGTTGTTCTTTAATATTAATTACTATTTATCTTTAGAGTAGATAAGTATTAAGTAATGTATTTTTTCTATGTGGTTATGAACCTTAAATGTTAAAGATGTTATTGATATATTTAGAGTTCCTATAAGATGGAGACAATAAGATTAATCCATGGATTTTATGCCATTTTCATATAAATTTGGCATTTTCCAAAATGGTTGGGTCTTATTAAACGAATTAAAAAACGGAAATGGGTCTTCTTAATTTGATCATTTCACCTTAGATCCCACCCGAAAAATTTTCAATTTTTCAAAAAAACTTAGGTAAAATATACTTTTAGGTAAAATAGTGCTAGTTAGGATACGAATAAATTTAAAAAATATAATGAAAACAGTATTAAAGAAAAAAATATTTATCAAATTCATCATTTTACTTCAGACCCCAAATGAAAAAATAAATGTAATTTCCGAAAGGCCAAGTTAAAAGAAAATTTGGTAAGAAAGCTGAAAAAGAAAAAAAGTAAAAATTGGAAATGGATTTTATCATTTTGATAATTTTATCTTAAATCTCAGATGAGAAAACTACAAGGTTTGTACAGAATTAAACTTGAAACATTATATTATATAGCTCATTGTTGAAAGGTCCAAAATCCCGTTGAATCCAAGGTTTTGGTATGATGTTTGAATGGTTGAAAGGCTATAATGAAAAAAATTGTTTTACTCTTTTTCATAATAGAGCTTTGACTCAGTCATGTACTCAAACTGACACGAAAATGATGAAGACAAAGCAGAACAAATTGTTTGAATATCAATATTAAATCGTTAATCAACACAAATATCACAACTTGTCTCAAATCTAACGGGCCACGACATAGTATTCATAAGCTCCAAGGTACAAGATAAGAAGATAGTAAGAAAAAACCAACATTTATGTATCCAAAGTTGATCCAAATTTTGACCTCTAACAACAAATTTACAAGTAGAGATTTAGTAACACTATTGATGGGCCTTACAGGATGGCCGAATAAGCCCATATGGCCCAATAATTAAACTGAAACACCAAAATTAAGAAAAGAAAGAGGAACAAAAAAAAACCGGTGTGGTTCTTGTGCTGTTTTTTTTTTTTTTTTTTTTTTGGTTTCAGCAACGACGCAGTTCTGTGCAGAGATCTGCGTATATTCCATTTCCCTCTTCACTGCGCTTTCCTCTTCAAACTGACACTACCCAACACAACTACCTCTTAACTCCGATCTCATTCAACTGAACCACCATGCACGCATAACCCCAGCTTGAACCGGACCGCACCAGATCCAATCCAACACCGTCCCAGAGACATGGTCTTTGGCAAACTCTCAGGCTTGAAGAACAACCTACGAATCTCCGCCTCCCTCCAGGATCTCTCCTCGTACCGCAACCTCGACCCCGAACATGGCCTTCTCCGAGACCCCACCACCGCTAGTTTCTCCAAAACCAAACCGCTCCAACTCCCGAACCCTGTTCGCCGCAAATGCCTCGCCCCGATCGCGCTCATCAGCTTTCTCCTCCTCATCCTTCTCTTCCTTCTCTACACCTTCTACACCCGACAAGCTTCTCCCAAATATTACGTCGTTCTCGATTGCGGCAGCACCGGGACTCGTGTCTTCGTCTACAAGGCCCAAGTCCAACACGGGCACTCCTCCAACCTCCCCATCGCCATCGAATCACTAAAAGACGGCCTCCGCAAGAACCCCGCCAGTGGCCGCGCCTACGACCGCATGGAAACCGAACCGGGCCTCGACAAACTCGTCCGCAACATGACCGGTTTGAAAACCGCGCTCAAACCGCTTATAAACTGGGCGCAGAAGCAGATTCCAGAACCTTCCCACAGGTCCACTTCCTTGTTCCTCTACGCCACCGCCGGGGTCCGGAAACTCCCCTTCGATGACTCCAAGCGGCTGCTCGATAATGCGTGGAACGTTCTGAAAGGTTCGCCTTTTGTGTGTCGTAGGGATTCAGTGAAGATCATTTCCGGCACTGAGGAAGCTTACTTTGGATGGATTGCGCTTAATTATGAGAGTGGCATTCTTGGGGTTAAGCCCAAGAAGGAAACCTATGGTGCTCTTGATTTGGGGGGTTCTTCTTTGCAGGTCACGTTTGAGGGTTATAAGCAACAGCGTTTGAATAGTGAGACTAGTTTGTATGTTAGGATTGGCTCGGTGAACCATCATTTGACTGCGTATTCGCTTGCTAGGTATGGCCTCAATGAGGCCTTTGATAAATCTGTTGCGCGTGTTTTCAAGGACTCTGGCTATAATATTGCGAATGTTGTTAAGGGGGATGTGGAGCTTAAGCATCCCTGCCTGCAGTCTGGGTACAAAGAGCGCTACACGTGCTCGCATTGTGCTGCTTTGGATAAAGAAGGGGAGAGTCCTAAGGTTGAGGGGAATGGGAATGGGAATGTGGTGGCGAAGAATGGAGGATTGAGAACCATGGTCACGCTTGTTGGCGCGCCCAATTGGCAGCGGTGCAGTGCGCTGGCAAAGGTTGCTGTGAATTTGTCTGAATGGAGTGATGATAGTCCTGGTCTGGATTGTGAGATTCATCCGTGTGCTCTTCCCGATAACATGCCTCGCCCGATGGGACACTTTTATGTGATTTCTGGGTTTTTTGTGGTGTATAGGTTTTTCAATTTGAGTGCAGAGGCCACACTTGAGGATGTGTTGGAGAAGGGTAGGGAATTCTGTGAGAAGAGATGGGATGTTGCAAAGAAGAGTGTTGCTCCTCAGCCCTTTATTGAGCAGTACTGCTTTCGGGCGCCGTATATTGCATCATTGCTGAGAGAGGGTTTGCACATTACTGATAAGCATATAACTGTTGGTTCTGGAAGTATCACTTGGACACTTGGAGTGGCTTTGTTGGAAGCTGGGAGGGCGTATTCTGTTAGGTTTGGCCTTCGTGGTTTTGACATGCTTCAGATGAAGATGAATCTACTTTTACTTATTCCCATTTTGATACTTTCGTTTATTCTTCTTCTTTGTGCCTTGTCGTGGGTTGTCAATTGGATGCCAAGATTTTTCCGGAGACTATATCTTCCATTTTTCAGGCATAACGGTGGTTCCAGTGCATCAGGTCTTAATATCCCATCTCCTTTCCGCTTTAAGCGGTGGAGTCCTATCAATTCTGGTAAGCTAATTGCACAAATGATATCTGATTTTCTTTATGATCCAATAAATTTATTTCCTGGACTTACAATACGAATAAGTTAAACACATGGAAGCATGCCCATTCATAGATATAAATCTGATTGATTTTGATAATTTTCTCTTCTTCACATCTATTCCATGATAATCTTTTTCCTTCTTTGGTCATAGCTTCTTCTGCCATTCTTGAACCCTCCAATTTGTCTTATATCCATCCAAATGAGAACCCTTTTTGGGTTCTTATTTCCTTCATTCTTGATGGATCAAATTACCATAGCTGGTTCGATCTATGTCCATGTCCTTCAAAATGAAAATCAAATATGCATTCATCAAGATATCAGGAGCAATAGATTCACCCTCTATCATGGAAAAGATGCAATCCCTTAGTTCTTTCTTGGCTGAACCTGATATGAATCACAAGGGGTAATTTAGGATCTTTAAGGTTAGAACCTTATAAGAAATTTAGGAATTAGAAAGAAGGTGGAAGGAAAGAATCTCTCTTCCCAAGGGAGGCAACACACAAAGGATGTGAAAGTCCTTTGATACAGTCAAATATTCTTGAATCACTCAAGAACTTAGGAGAATTACTCTCACTAAGATAAAAGAGATAAACTCTAATATTTCCAAAAATAAAACTCAACTTGTTTTTTCTTATAAAAATGGTTCAGCTTATAAAGAAGTTTTGCCATCAGAGTTACAAATATTCATTAAAAGAAAATAAATGTGAATAATGATTTATTAACCTAGGAATTGAAAACTACTTAATGATTGATTGTAACTGAAATTGTGACATCCAAAAGTCAATCAGCTATGCACCCTCTTATAGAAACTAGCTAACCCATGAAAACTTCTCACTTCACTCACATTCTTAGGGGTAGGCCACTCTTGGATGGCTCTAATCTTTTCCTCATCAACTTGTACCCCTTTAGAACTCACAACAAATCCCAAGAACACAACATGAGAAAGGAAAGGTTTCCTGAACAAAGAAAGTCTAAACTTCAACCTAGAGGAGATGGGCCATTCCAAGTCTTAGAGAAGATCAATGATAATGCTTGTCTCCCAAAGACTGATAACTAAATTTCTAATTGGGCCCTTATTACAACTTGCAATAAAACTAAATTAAAGCCCATTAATTGATTAATCCAAAACACAATTTGGTCAACCAACAATATTTGTTGAAGAGCTTCATTTGTTTCCCTTGCTCTAGCTCTTATCATAGGTCATGTTCACATCAGAACCATTATTTTCAACAGAGTTTTAACAAACATCATTTGGATCAGTGAAGCTAATAAAGTATGGCAAGATTTGAAAGATAGTTTTTCTTGGTGTAATTATCATCTCTGCAATGATATCTGCTATCTCGAACAAGCTAATATGTCTGTTACCATTGATTTTACTAAGATGAAAATTCTTTGGGGGTAAACTGTGCTACTTCCACTCAATTCCTGCACCTGCCTCTTCATCTTGGTGTTGCTGCAATGCCCCTAAAACCCTTCAGCATGATTGTGTCTTATCCTTTCTCCATGGCCTCAATGAAAATTACTTACATTTGAAGTCCCAAATTCTTTTAATGGTTCCCTTCCATCTTAGAATAAGGTGTTTTCTATGGTGTGATTCAACAGAACGGCAAATCCTAATTGGCAATTACCTGATCCACTAGCACTCATAGTACAAACAAAGACCCCTCCTTTTCGAAGTCATGGCTGAGCCAAAATTTTGCCTGCCAAATCTGTTTCTTCTAGGCAATGCACTCATTGCGCGGTTACACAAATCATAATGTTGATATGTGTTTTCTTAAACACCAATTTCCTCCAGGGTATAAGTCAAAGAAGGTAGCAAATAATGTTTCTTCAGAACAGCCACAACCTATTGATTCCAATGCTGGTATCAGTAAAGAGCAAATCAAAGTCTCTTGATCTAAATGCTTTTTTTCTCATAGTAATCTGACATACATTCCTCCTACTTGAGGTGTCAGAGTGCTCTGACATGTTTTTGACACTAACCTCTCACTGGCACATATTTTGGCACTAACCTCTCTGTCACCCAAGTTTGGCTCTCCTCGTTAGGCATCTAAGTAAAATAATCTTAAGTTTGGCACTTGAGACAGCATCTTGAATAGCTTGAACATTTGAATGGAGTCAATTGACATCTACGGATAGACATTTTAATGATGCTAGTATTATAAAAAAAAAATAGATATTCAATTTTTTAAACATTCAGCAAATTCAGCTTAATATTTTGTCAGGCATATTTTCATATAAATCTTGATTATCAATTTAGATATTTTGGTCTGTTAATTATGCTTAGTTTCATTACACATGGTGTCCTCTATTTTGGACCTTAGTTTTGTTGGAGTAGTTTCAGTGTTTTTTGTTTTGGTGAGAACGCCATAGAATAGATGAATCTGATAACATTCTTCTTTGTTAATGTTATGCACTCCATTTTCGTGACTGATAATTTCTAATGACTCCATAAATGTATTTAATGTGATAGGATGAAATTGCTGTAACTTAAACAAACATGTAGAAACAAATATGTATTGCTATGTATAAATTATCTTTATGAGGCTTTCTCCATTGAATTTTTGGTATGATTATCTTATGTATGGGAGTGTATACTTAAGATGATTGACGGCTAAGAATAGATACTTGTGTTAAGTTTTCTTCCTTTTTAGATTAACCTAGAGTGATCCAAATCCAATTATGCTTTATGTGCCTTGGCACTCCAATATGTGAAACTATGGGAAATCAAATAGTATTTTAGGAAAGAATAAATCAGGAAATTTGTATATTTCCTGGTAATCTGTACAGATTTGAATAATTAGGAACAATCCCATAAATCAAGGGATCCTAGCATAAAATAGAGTTATTATATTTCCTAAAATAGTTTAGGTCTCCTGTATATACCTTATATCATCTCTTTGTATTGATATAATAAAAATCATATTTCAGTTAATCTATTTTTCCAGATGGTATCAAAGCTTCCGATCTAGGAAGCTATGTCTGCGCGCGATAAACCCTAAGACGGCAATCTGCATTGCTGTTGCATATTTCTTAACCCTAAGACGGCAGCCTACATTGCTGCTACATATTTCTTAACCCTAAGACGGCAGCCTGCATTGCTGCTACATATTTCTTAACCCTAAGACGGCAGCCTGCATTGCTGATGCATTTTTCTTAACCCTAAGACGGCAGTCTACATTGCTGCTGCATATTTCTTAACCCTAAGACGGCAGCCTGCATTGCTGATGCATTTTTCTTAACCCTAAGACGGTGGCCTGCATTGTTGCTGCATTTTTCTTAACCATAAGATAACAGCCTGCATTGCTGCTGCATATTTCTTAACCCTAAGACGGCATCCTGGACTGCTGCTGCATTTTTCTTAACCCTAAGACAGCAGCCTACATTGCTGCTGCATTTTTTTTAACCCTAAGACGAAAACCTACATTGCTGCTGCATTTTTCTTAATCCTAAGACGACAACTTACATTGTTGCTGCATATTTCTTAATCCTAAGACGGCAGCCTGCATTGCTGCTGCATTTTTCTTAACCCTAAGACGACAGCCTGCATTGCTGCTGCATTTTTTTTAATCCTAAGACGACAGCCTGCATTGCTGTTGCATCACACCTCCTTGCTGTGATGTCAAGGGAAGAGGAAGTTGTGAATCCAAACCCAGAAACAGGGAATACCCAATCCCCAGCAATCTGGAGAACTGCAGAATATTCATTCTGCATATAGACTAAATGGAAGAAATTATTTGAAGTAGGCCCAACTTGTTCGTACAGTGTTGAAGGGAAAGGGGAAGTTGAGTCACCTGATGGAGTCTGGACCTAAACAGGAGGATCCCAAGTTTACTACATGGGATGAAGAAGATTCAATGATCATGACGTGGCAGTGGAATTCAATGATTCCAGAAATCAGCGACACCTGCATGTTCCTTAATTCGGCAAAAGATATTTGGGATGTTGTAGAGCAAACCTACTCTAAAGCCAAAGATGCTGCTCAAGTATATGAAGTAAAGGTAAAAACTTTTGCAGCAAAACAAGGGAACAAGACTGTTACAGAATATGCCAATCAGCTGAAATCATTATGGATGGAGCTAGACCATTATAGAGTCATAAAAGCCAAATGTACTGAAGATTCAGCACTTCTCAAGGAGTATATCGAACAAGACAGAGTTTATGATTTCCTTGTTGGTTTGAATCCTGAATTTGATCAAGTTAGGATTCAAATATTGGGGAAGCAAAAGGTACCATGCCTCAATGAAGTGGTGGCTATTGTGAGAAGTGAAGAAAGTAGAAGGGGTTTCATGTTAGAGAGTCCAGCAGTAGAGAACTCAGCACTAGACCATAAAGGAGATCAGACTTTGGCCATGGTAACCGAACAGAAGAAAGGAGGATCAGCAAATATGGAGAAGAAAGGTGATGGTCTCTGGTGTACCTACTGCAATAAACCTCGTCATACCCGAGAGAAGTGTTGGAAGTTACATGGGAAGCCTTTAAACCGAGATCGAGAAGGGGGACACAAAGGAGGCTCCTCAAGGAAAGGAGGACAAGTTTATGTTATGGAAGTTGCTATGGCTTAAAATCATCTTAGAAGACTTGAGGATAAATTGGGAAGAACCTATGAAGCTCTATTGTGATAATAAGTCAGCAATTATTATAGCCCACAACCCAGTGCAACATGATAGAACAAAGCATATTAAAGTAGACAGACCCTTCATCAAAGAAAAGCTTGATAGTGGCTTGATATGCACTCCATATGTGTTCTCTCAAGACCAAATTGCAGGCATTCTTACCAAGGGACTGGGCTGCCATAATTTTGAGAAGATTGTATCCAAGCTGGGAATGGAAAACATCTATTCACCAGCTTGAGGGGGAGTGTGAGAAATCAAATAGTATTTTAGGAAAGAATAAATCAGGAAATTTGTATTTCCTGGTAATCTGTACAGATTTGAATAATTAAGAACAATCCCATAAATCAAGGGATCCTAGCATAAAATAGAGTTATTATATTTCTTAAAATAGCTTAGGTCTCCTGTATATATCTTATATCATCTCTTTGTATTGATATAATAAAAATCATATTTCAGTTAATCTATTTTTCCAGAGAAACAAAAATACCTTTTGTCGAAATTCTATATCAATCATAGATCAGGCTAAAGTAGAGCTTATAAAGGCTTGGGCAATCCTCACCTCATGAATTAGCTTTTGGTGTTGAATTAGGCCTAGCTCAAATTCAGGATGATATTAGAGGCTAGATCCAATATTGAGCTACCCTCAATTATCCATAAAAGAAAACAAACTACCCATTGCCATGGCTTTCCCTGTGCAATCTAACTGGTCTTTGGGTTTTCCCAGGACAATATAGAAAAATTCAGTCCTACAATCTCTATGCTCCAAATGTCAACCTACATGTGAAGATTGTGTTGAAATCCCACATTCACTATAGATATGACTAAAGTATAACTTATAATGGCTTGGACAATCCTTATATGATTATATCATGAGTTAGATTTTGGAGTTGAGTTAGGCCTAGCTTAAATTTAAGGCCTTTTAATATCTTGATCGATCCCTCGTCTGGGAAGAACACTGTCCCAACACTCCTAGATTCGTATGGGCAGCGTATAATATTTATACTTTCCTTTTTTATTCAGAATGAAGCTGGTATCATTATAATTAAAGTCAATCAAGTTTCCTCTTGATTCAAATTTGTAAACAAACCCTAATTTATTTATGAATGAGTTTAAAGCTTTTTTTCTGAAGAATTTTTGCCTCATTTCTGCCTATTGTTTAGTGCATCACTCATTATGTTGAATATTCTGAGTAAATATAAATCCCTTCCATAAAAGACATATATTACATTCCTTTCCCCTTTTTTGGGAAAAAAAAAATATACAGTCTTGTCTTGAGAGATGGAATTTGTTCCATTTTAATGTAAATGAACCTTACAACTGTAGCGGATCACTATCAACGGTGCTTTTCTTTTTCTTCTACAGCTTTCAATGTCATCGACAGCTAAATTTGAACATCTATTATTTATTTTAGTCTTAGGCAGGGTTGAATGAAATTTTGATTTCTCTACTATCAAATTTAGAATTTCATCATGCTAAAATCTTTATTCATCTTTTGAAAACTTAGCTTTAGTGTTAAGAATTACAATGAGAAAAACACTCCAAAAAGCTCATTTATTTTAAAATGAACTAGTGTAACATATATTCATTTACAATAAGATGGGGTGCAGTGTAATTTAAACATTTCTCTAGAAAGGGAATGTAATTTACTCATTCTTTTAATTTTGCCTTTATTGAAGCTGCATTTCCAAAACTTTGATATTTATTTGGCTAAGGCATTTGATTGCACACATTATTTCATAATGACAACTAGCCACTAGGTCAATTACAAGAAGTTAGTGATATAAACTCCATTAATGCAATTCACAATTTTGATCTTTTTTCCTTGAAATTTGGACTTGTATTCAAATAATATGGACAACACTTGTTGAAGAGTTTTCTTTACTTTCTTTGTTCTAGATCTTATCATAGGTCTTCCAAGTCCTTCAAGTGGATCCTTGTTCTTTCTCATGGTCATGTCCCCATCAGTTAGTCACCTCATATTTTTGTGTTGTGTCCATGTTTGCTGCCAATATTTTGGAAAATTCCATCCAATATTGGTGCAGAGGGATGAAAACCCATTTTTGCTCCTTTTTCCGAGTTTTCAAACCCTTATGCTTTCATGATTTCTTTTGTATTTTATCTGATATTCCTATTGGGTTCAAAAACCTTCCTCATTCAACGCCAACTCTGACCTCTGTTCTTTACAAACACTAAACCAACCAACCCTTCGACCACAGCTTGTTGGCAGTGTTTTTTTTGCCATGCCTGGTGTGTTCTGGCACACCAACTGCTCGCAGGCATCTTCTGCTGATCTGCCACCTGCCTGCATCCAGGTCTCTGGTCATGCAGGTCTGCTGATCTTCCCGGTCGTGATTAACAATCTGCACACCAGTCTCTGATTATTTTTATTTTGTTATGAGCATGCTGTGAAACAACAACACTACTCCTACACTAAGAAGCATTGACACTGCATGTGAAGGCTGTGTTGCAGTGTCTAACACCAACACAGCCCCTTATATTCACGTTGGATATGTCTTTTAGGATCCAAATGTAACGAAGCTTTTTTCATAAAGACACGTCTGACTCATCAACTTGAAATTTAAAATCTTATTTTATTTTTGATTGAGATGCGGTGTTGCTGAGACATATATTTTACACATCATTGTTGGTATTGGTGCTTCTTAGCTCCTGCATGAGGTGTTGGAGTGTCATAAAGCTTCTAACAACATCAGATGCCTGACACGTTACACATTGCATGCATGAGACACTGTATGCGTGTCTGATTACTTTTTCATTTCAGTTAGGACTTGATTTGGACACTAAGCTGAGTCAACTAGACAATTCAAAGGAAGTTATTATAAAAAATCAATTCATTGTTTTAACTCAAAGGCAGCATAATATAAAATATTAGAAGATGATACTTTGTAGCATACTAGTAGTTGTTAGTGAATCTCACTGTAATAGGGTAAAGTTTAATGCTTGGCAAGTTGAGAAGGTAAAATATAACTATTCATAGATATAATCCATCTTTATTTTGGGAATCTTTGGTACATACTACGTCTGTGAACTGATGTGCTGAACAATCCCTCCGTAAATGATATTGATTAAAAAACTGTAATATTTACAATTGCCACAAGCGTGCATCATATACTTTCACTGGTACTATGGTTTGTTTTGGTTTCTTTACAAACGATAGCGGAGTTTTCTTTTTTATACTTTGAATGTCTTTGTGTAGCCTGTGTATTCTCTTGGTAATTTATTTATTTATTTATTTATTTTTTTTTTTGTGATTGAGCGAGCTTTGAAGTCATTTTATGGACTAATGGTATTGCAGGAGATAGGATAAAGACCCCACTCAGCCCAAATGCTGCAGGTTCACAAGATAGATCGTTTAGCCTTGGGCATGGTCTTGGTGATAGCAGTGGCAACATCCAGCTGATGGAATCTTCCTTTCATCCATCAGCTAGTAGTGTCTCACATAGTTATTCCTCGAACAATTTAGGGCAGATGCAGTTTGACAGCAGTATAGGGACATTCTGGTCACCCCACAGAAGTCAGATGCGTCTGCAGAGTAGGAGATCTCAATCTCGAGAAGACCTGCATTCTTCGTTGTCTGAGACGCATATGGTGAAGGTTTAGGGGGTGATCTTCTGAAAACTTTGGTATGCTTACACTGACATCTTTTAAGTTACATTTTTTCCTTTTGGTTTATGTTTACCAATTCTTCATAGGCATTCTTTTTTGTAACATAAGAATAGCTATAGGTAAACTCTAGTAAAGCACATTTATATTCTTGTTGTTGATTGTCCTTTCTATATTTTTTATAAAAATTTCTTAACCATTCTATTTAAGATTTCCATGCATTTCTCCGATGTTTATAACTGCTGTTGTACATGAGCAACATGTAGCTTGACATGAGTTTAGTTGTTGGCCAATTAAGTTGAAACTCCCAACATGAAAATTTTCTGGGCATTGCCTGAACATCATGTCAATTGTTGTCATCTTAAATGATACTTTTTCACAAAAGGATATCTCAGTCACTTCTGTATGTTATTTTTCTTTAAATCTTCCATGCAAATTGTAAAACATTTATACATGTACCATCATTTCAGCTTTTGTCATGGAGATGACCAAGCGGGCTAAAGAAGAGTTGGCAAGATTATGTAATTCCATACTAACTTATATCTTCTGGATCTCACTTCTAAACTGATTTCTTCCACAAGATGCATAGCACAACAAACAAGTTCTCATTCCAACATTCCTTACCACTCTCCGTTAGTGGCTACTGAGTGTCCATGTTCTGCTGTCACCGTACAGTTTTCCGGTGACCATTAAACCTTCTGATGACGAATGAAGCATCAAAGTACGCCAGCGAGAAGCGCTCTTCAAACTGCTGAGATCAATTCATTTGTGACTATTTTCATACCATTTTTTAGACAAATAAACCTTCATTACTATATAGAATCTCCCCATGTTTCAAAGCGGGACTTAAGACTGCGAAGGTCTAAAAGTTAAATCTCTAAGAAAAGCTGTAATATAGTACAATGCTCATACTTTACATGTCAAATAAGCTATTGAATTTAGTTGCACCTTGCAACCTTCTTATCCCTTTTTATTCGAAAGGATATTATGCTACTTTCAATATGGAGCAAAGCGTACCGCTTGGATGTTCGAAATCCAAAATATATAGCATTAATTTTGATACTATCCAACCTTCTGTGTCTCAGTAAATGCTCTTGAAATTGTTTTACATTTTGAAAATTGTTTACTAATCTTCAACATAGTAAAATTCGTAATGAAGAAAAAAAAAAGGCTAATTATCGGTATGTCGAGAATCTTCTGCGCAAAGCAATCAACTTAATGAATCTGACAGGGGGACTACACTACGGTGAGTAGTAGTATTCATTATGCCTAGGTAATGTAACGTTAAGCATGGTTAATTAGTAATATAATGATCGTTACTTCAAAAATGTTATTATTATGAGTTTAGTTTTAATGCATTGTGAATTTAGAGAATTGCTTTATATTCGGAAGATGAGAATGAGTTTCAATGTAACACTTTCATCTATTTGGATTGAAAGAGTAGAAATGAGTGAGTGAAAAATAATATAACGTTGAAATTGTTCGGATAGAAAGAAAAAGAGAAAATATAATGATAAATAAAATTTGATTAATTAAAAATAATTAAATAATAAGATAAATTAATAAATAATTAAAATATCCTTATATAATTTAATAAGAATCAATATAAATTAATTTATATATAAGTTAAAATTAAATACAATAAATAAATTAGTTACTCTTATATTATTATTTTCTAAAATTAAACAAACAATATATATATATATATATAACTTATTTTTTTTATAAATAATCTTCCAATAGTATTATATATATCCTTATTTAATATTTTGACCTGAGAATTTTTTTCATATTTAAAAAAAAGTAATTGTTTTAAATTTAAATATATTTTTAATTTTATAATATAAATTATATGTAATTATGTTATTTTTCTTTTTATATTTTAAAAATAAATATATTTTTTAACAATATTTTACTTATTTTTAATTATATTTTTTATTTAAATTCTTCACAAATTATACCAAAAAAATTGTTTGAATCTTATCAAATTTTTATTAAAATTAAATATACCATAATTTCATATCAAGTTAGTCTCTAACTTTAAACATTTTTGTATGCCTCTCTTTTGGTGCAGGATTTTTTTTTTCAGGAGATATAAAAGGGTATTCATTCTATGTTGAACATTATGTTTTTTTTTTATATAAAAATCTTCATTTTCTAACTGATTCTTCTCTTTGGTTTTTGACCAAAAATCCACGGACAAAATTACGAGACTAACCATCAAATTAGGATATAGGAGTAATTGTTAGTAGATTCTTCCCTAGAGCCGTGTTTCTCTATATACATTCGTACACAATAAATTCCTAACAATAAAAGTAAGATTAAAAGAAAAAAATAAATATTATGCCAGTCATTTCGGTGTAACTTGAGTTTGGATATTATTTCAAACATTTTTATTCCCCCGTACATTTTTTTTGGTAACACCTCGATTCTCTATTGCTTTGCACAGTCGATCAAAAGGTCTTTACAACTGCGTAAGGACAAAACACAAGATCAAAAAGGTTCAGATCAATCATGACAAAAGATACCTTAATAAACACCTCATTTATCTATAATAAATCACTACAAAAATAAACAAATCCAAAACAAATGCATGTGAATCTGACAAGAGATAAGATAAACACGACAAAAGAGACAGGGTTACTACCAAATGATATCGGCAATAGCCTGCATTAGGAAGAACCCGAGAAAGAACTAAATCAGAAGGAAAGAAAGCTCCACAAAGGAGAAAGCAGAAACTATGGCCAACTTTCCCTTTGATTTTTCTTTGTTTGCCATCATAGATAGTTAACTAAGGAAACCTCTTAGATTACAACCAGTAAAATCACTTACCTGCTACACCACCCATGATCACACTAGCTGAACGCAAAATTTCTATCCCATGTCCTTGTATTTGGCACATGTACACAACTGATCCATTCCTGATGATGTTTGAAGGACTACTTTGATTTAGCAGCAACTAAATTATTTTCATTAATATGCATGGTGAAGGTTTTCTTACACAATCATTCAATGATATATTACCACATAATAAATTTGTTGAGTTTATGGCAACTACTTGAGAAGTCGTATAATTTTCTATTAATTGACTTAGTACAACTTTTTATGCTGAGCATATTTGAAAACTGAACTCTATTTTTAAGAGGCGATTGTTTTAGGCTCTGGTCACCTCTCCTGTCCTTGAGTTCACACAACCTTCCGTATGTATAAATTACAAGTTAAAAAAAATGAAAAGTTTAAATACAGTTTTGTCTCTTTATTATGTTCAATATGTAATTTTGATTCTTTTATTTTATAAAATCCATACTTTTGGATCAATCCTGAAACTAAATAAACCCAAAGCGCAAGCCATGTGGTATGGAACATATAGGCATGAGAAACCAAAAAGCGGAGTTTCCTTCATTTCAAACCTTTAAACATTTGTTCCCTTCCCATCCCTCAAAAAAATTGTCATTCCCTGCAATCTTTGGCCATCTTAACCGTGAAAGTAACCTTGCCATTAGTGACAGACACATCATTAAACGCAACAGTTAGCATCTTCGTAACTGACAATTAATATATATATATATATATATATATATATATATATATATATATATCTCGCAGAACATAATCATGATTAATGAAGAGAATTACCAAAATGCGAGGACAAATGAAGTCCCTAACAGACATTGTGTCGAACAGGTGACAGGCGCACCCCATAGCAGCACGGTGATCCGTTGTGGACTAAAGAATGAAGATGGTTCAGGCGCGAATATGTATCTCGAGAAGCAAATGAGCTGAGAGGGAGAGCTTGAGGCATAGGGATGCGGTGGACGAAGCAGAGCGGAGAGGAAGAAGAAGCAACAGTTTGTGCGGAAGAGGGAGGTTTAGGCACAGCCGCACCATTGACATGGTAGCGCTTCAGTTTATGCGATTATTTTCTTTTTTAGATTGTGATTACCGATCATCTCTCGTCAGTGTATTAAGATATTTAAAAAGAAAAATAAAATTTATTTATTTAAATTAATAGAATTAAAGTAAAACAAAATAAAGACAAAATTGTAATTGATTTAAAAGAATAAAAAATAAAATAATTCAATGAATTATAAAAATATTCCTGATTAAATTACAGTAGAAATGAATACGAAACAAAACATAGTTACTTATAAATTATTTTTTAATAAATATTTAAATAATTAATTAAAAATCCTTTATAATTTACTTTTCACGTGCAATTAAACTTCTTTTTATTTTTTGGATACGTATAAACTTAGATGAAGGAGCTAGTAATGGAATGATAAAGACAACGTAAGATTATGGTACAAAAATTAACTTTTTGGGCACAATTTTGTTTTATTTTTTCATCATCAAGTTTTTATTTTTAGAAAAAAATAAAAAATAAAATAATTATACTTATTATTAATAATTTTATTTATTATTATTATTATTATTTAATTTTTTTAATATTATTCTTTTAATTATTTATTATATAAAAATGTAAAAAAATGGCATCATGATCCACTGATAATATTTTAAAAATTTATTTTTTTATTGTTTGCACTTTCTTGCTATAACCTTTTTTCTCATGTTTTTGCAAGGTTAAAACTTTCTTTATTTTTATTTTTTATTTTTTTACTTTGCTCTATCTTTATGTTTAAAGAAATAAGCAATTATGTATTAAACAAATAAAAAAAATTATCAGTAGCAACATATCATGTGCAAAACAAATATATTTAACAAGTGTTATCGCTACATCTAGGATCATATAATGACTAGAAGGGTGCATAAAAAAAACACATTCAAAAGGCTACATAAGAAGATTAAATCATAAGAATAAGAACACTAATAAAAGATTGCATAAAAGATATTTCATCAAAAACACATAAATTAAAGTTTATTATGAAAATTCAACATGAGAATAAACATTACTTATGTTTAATTTTTGAAAGTTTTTTTTAATCACCAAAATAGTCTTAGTAAAAGATATCATTGTCATATAAGGGTTAAGGTGTTATGGAAATAACATGTGATAGTTTAAAAAGTTTTAAAGTCTTACTCAGATTTTACATTATAATTTTTTTACTGTAAAGCAATCCATTTTATTTTTACTTTTCACTTAATAGATATTTGATTCTTATTACATTTTTCTGTTTATAAAAGATTCTCATGTTAAAAATAAGAAGCCAACATGTACTAGAATGAAGTGAGGCATCTACATTACAATATTTTCCATAGTTGTTTTTTTTCCAACAAACTTACATGAATGTATCACTCATTTTTATTTTATTTTCTATACAACAACTTCAAAGAATAAATCTCTACACTAAATAACTTTTTTTTTTATTAGTAGCTCTCAATGATCCACCGCAGAGCTTTTATCATAATAATTTACTAATTTTCTGCACAATTTTTTGTTCAGATGTAAAAAAAAACTAAATATAATAATTAAATTATATTTTATTTAAATATTTAAAGTAGTTAACTTCATTTATATAAATAATGTAAAATAAATTTATTATATAATTAAAATAATAACTATTTTTACTCATTATCCTGCTTAAAATCCTTCTAACACATGTTTCTCAATACTCAACTATTAACCTTGAACCCTGAACCTAAGGTAGTTTCTTATGTTTAAGCACAGTAGAAAGTATATTATCTTTTTTATTTTCTTTAATTTTTTTAGTAAACTAAATTGTTTGATATAGTCTAGGGTCATTTTTCTCGCCTACATACACTTGACACTTTTTATCCTTAATCATTTTTCATTTATATATTTATAAACTATATTTATTTTAAAAAATGAATATTTTATTATTGTTATTATTATAAAATAATAGTTTCAGAAGCATTAATGATTAATAAATGATCATGGTACAAATATGTAATAAAAAATATGTATTTTAAATTATATTTATTTTAAAAAATAAATATAATAATAATAATAGTAACAAATTATTTATTTTTTTAAATAAATATAATTTGAAAATTGCATTTTCAACCAAATAATGTTTTCTTTATATATATATATATATATATATATATATATATATATATATATATATATATATATATTTCTCTTTAGCCAAACAATTTTTATATCCACCTATTTCTTATTTATTTTTTCTAATTTACTAAAAAGTACTCTATTTTTTCACTCTCATTGTCAAACATAATATAAGCTGTTATAATTTCATTAACAATGTTAACAAATTTTATAAAAAAAATAAAAAAATACGCTGAAGTTCTCTAAAATTAACTAGACCAAATTGAAACTTTAGATATTAAGAAGTAGGACATTGAAAAAAATAATAATCAGTGAGACGAAACTAAGAATTAATCCAATTAATTTATATATTAATAACATTAAACATGACATGGAAAAAGAATTGAATATTTGAAATGAAGGTTTGAATAATTGTAAAGTTGCGTGGGCGGGAGGAGAAGGTCGTAAGTGTTTTTCTTTCTGCACATTTAGCCTTGGCAACGATCACTGAATCAATCGCTTAGTCACTTTGAAATGGAAGAAGAAGCAGCTCCGGTTCTGCGACTGGATATCCTGCAAGCCCTCGCCAAGGCGAAATCCTAGATTTCAAACCAGGATCCGCTGTTCAAATTGGACGCATTGTGAAAGGCAACACCCTCCCCATCAAGGACCCCGACATCTCCTCGAAACACCTCTCCATTCTCAACGAATCTGCCAAATGGATCCTCCGCGACCTAGACTCTTCAAACCACACCGCTTTGGACGCCTCCCAGATCCCCCCGAACACTCCCTTCCCCCTTCACCACGACTCCACCGGAGAATTCACCTCCATCCACGTCATCTTTTTCCCTCCCCACAACAGCAACATGCTCTCCCACCTCGACGAAACCCCTCGCGCTGCCATCGAACTGCTCTGGTTCCGGTTCCAGCCCCGGTTCCAGTGGCTCCTTCTGAACATGCTAGGCCACGCAACAGCCCTAGGGGTAGGAGAGTGATGGGTATGGATAAGGTTCAGGTTCAGGTTTAGAGTGTTGATGAAAACGACGCGAGTGTAGTGAACGTGGTATATGAGCGCGTGGATCCTCCTGCGAGGGTTAAGCTGAAGTCGAACAGATAACGGAGCGTGGTTCAAGAATCAAGTGTTGAGAATTTGATTCGTGTGGAGGAGAAGGTGGAGGAGTCAGAGATAACGGGGAATCCAAATTTGTTTGAGATTTCTGATTCCAGTGATGAGAATTTGAATGCTCCGGTGGTAGAGGAGCCGAAGAACGCGTGCGGGATACGGCATAGGAAGAACACGCGTGGGGTGACTGCAAATATTGAGAATGTTGAGTAAAAGACAGAGAGGGGTGTTGCTGGAAAGAGGGAATTGGAGAAAGAGGGTGAAGATAGGAATGGTGTGAAAGAGGCTTGTGATGGGAAAGAAAAGGGGAATTTGAATGAAGATGATGGAAATTGGCTTGATTTGAATAAGATGACACTTGGTGAGTGGATTGATTTTTTGGAATTTCACTTGCCCAAACAGATAGATGAAACTAACGAGATGATTGATTCAATGACTCAAAAGGCTGAGAGACTCTGCGAGTACATCGCAGTGATGCAACAACATAATATCAAGGGTAAAATGCCTAGGCCAAAATGTTAGTTCCTTATTGATTTTACTAGTTTATTTCACTTGTTTTGTTTGTAAGTATGCTTAAATAGGGCATGATCTTCATAAATTCATAAATTTAGAGTTCCTACTTCACTGATTGTACCACAACGACATATCTATCACTTTTCAAATTGCTTAATGGAATGTTGTTACTATTCTTAGATGAAGTTTGAGAACTGCTACTGCATAATCTGCACTGTGCTGAAGATCTAGCTTGTGTGTAGGGTTTTAGTTAGTAAGTTGCTTTTCTTGAACCATCTTCACTAAAAAGGATTATAAGGTAGAAATGCTATTTGTTGGCACAAGTGAGATGCCTATATTAATTTGTATCAGTAGTTATGTATATTATGCTATTAGAAATATGCAAATTGTATCTGGGCCTCACAATAGATTGAATAGACTTGCTCAAGTACCTTGCGATATTTATATTCATGCGGAAATTAAGTGAATTTTATGTTTTGCATAATGTATTGACACTCTACAACTTCACATATTGCTTTATGTATATATTTAATGAGTCGTACGATTTACTATTGTGAAATGAATTCTTCTATTTGCAATAGACTAAACATGATCTATGTTGATAGACGCTAAAGAAGTGAATATTGACATAAAATATTTGAGTTTGGGTTGTATGTATAAATAACAACAATATGGTAGGCTTGCATCTTTGCTGATATTTCTTTAGCGTTTTCAATATTATATTATGTTACAAAGGGCCAACTAAAGCTTTTAAACTGCATATTATGATATTTTTTATATCCTTTTTCCTTTCCTATCATATTGTCTAGGTCAAAATAACTCGGATATTGTAACCACATCAGTCGCGAAGGAACTTATTTGTCATTTAGTACTGTTACTGTATGCTGCAATGGTAAGAAATAACATTCAACATCTAATTGTGTAATTTATTCTTCCATTTCAACCTAATTGATTATAGATGTGATTTGGTAATATAGTCGGAAGTTCCGGTACTAAATGATTTTATAAATTTTAGTTTCTTATGTTCGAAGATTATTTCAAGCAGCAGTAGGAAGTATATTATCTTTTTTATTTTTTTTAGTTGTTTTATTGAACTAAATTGTTTGATATAGTCTAGGGTCATTTTCCTCGCTGCATACACGTTGCGACTTTTCTTTTCGTTGGCTGGGTCCATAGACAAAGGAGAATAGTATGCTGTAGAATCACATATTCACTCTCAATAATAGAAAAATGAAAAATGATTACGAGGATCAAAAGGTGCAACAAATTCTCAATTTTCTGTTTAGGCTATGTTACGAGTATGATTGTTCTAAGAAGCTATGGAAAGTATGTCTTCTCTAATTATTTTTATTATTATTATTGAGCTATATACATTGTGTTGTCTGAAGTATGGCTGGTATGTATTTTGTGGAAAATTCTACGACCAATTATACGAAAGTCTCTGGCTACATGACTTTGTAATTCTTTACCAATGCTTCTCTATTGATTTTGGATCATGTTATATTACTATTTGGAATGTAATTCGTTAGTGTTATGGATTTGTAAGTATACTTAGATAAAGTCTAATTTTTGGAGTTATACAAAATCCCTCATCTTTTCTCATTCCTAAGTTGTCTAGAGATGTGATCGACTGGAAGCATCAGGTAATGCTTGAGTTATGTTAGTATTTGTTATGTCATATGATACCCACCACGCCACTAACACCTGGTGGAAGGTTATCATGCTATTACACTCTGATAGCCTAGCCTCCTGCATGATTATATAGATCATGATATAAATGCTGTTGAGACCTGAGATTGCGCTTTGAAATTTTAGTATAAGTGCCTATGCAACGTGGTTTTAGTGCCTATTCAAAGATTATTTTTGTATGGCTTGATAATTGCTATTAATAAAGCACCTTAAGATTGGAGATGCACAATTTGATACTTTACACTTGATTTCTGGTTTGTTTATTATTTAAAAAAAATCTATATTACCATTCTAAAGTTCTCTTTTGGATCAGTTTTCAATTTCCTGTTTTGATACACCTTTTTCTGGTTCATATATTGTTTTAAGATTGTTTTGCTTTCTTATGTCTTAACTTGTGGAATCCTCTTATTTCTGTTTTATATTTCCTCTTTTTATTCTATATGATATGAAGCATTTTGAATTGTGTAATATCATGAACGCTATTTTAAAATTGTGAAGAATCTTAAATTTTGTGGTATCATCACTCCCTAGCTATATCTTATAGTTTTGTTTTGGTTCCGGTTTTAAAAGTTCTATAAAGTACCTTGAATATTAATTCTGTTCTGATTAGCATTTTATAAATGACTGATATCTTTTGGATTTTTGTTATAATGCCTCTACTCTCTATCCGAGAATTTTTAGAATAACAGTATTGCACGAAGACAAAGCAAACAACCTTCACGTCGGAAGCGGCAAAATGCCGGTGTAACATGTTAACGACTAATGGATAAGATGTTTTATAAACAAATAGGATGAAACATGGAAATTTACATATATGATATGGTCGTCAATGTCGAGAGTCACTTATTAGATCTCAGAGAGGTATTTTAGGTGTTAAGGAGATTTGATATGCCTTTGAACCCGGAAAAATGTGTGTTTGGAGTAGAGAGAGGAAAATCCATAGGGTTCATGCTTATCCATAGAGACATAGAAGCCAATCTTGACCAGTGTCAAGCCATTATCTGCTTGAGAAGTCCCAAGAGCATAAGGAAATCCAAAGGCTAGTCAACCGAGTAATGGCTTTGGCATGCTTTCTCCCAAGGCTCGTGGAAAAAATATAACCAATATTGAAAATAATAAGAAAAACAAAAAGGTTCGCATGGAGTGATGTAGCTCTTATCCTAATCATGACGGCTCGACAGTTGAGAACGTATCTCCAAAGTCATAATTGACCGTCAAGAGTGACTACCCTATTGTGAAAATATTTTGAAAATATTGATCTTTTGTCAAGGGTATCAATATTATTAATTTATTTTAATTAAATAAAAGTCAAATTTACAGTGAAAATTTCAAATTATATGCTTATTAGGTATATTAACATAGAATTGGTTTTTTATAAATATGTGAATTAAAAATAAATGACTATTAAGTATTTTTATAAAAGATGAAATATAAAAATTTAGGATTGGATTAATTCATTTTTCCTCCTTTGTATAATGGCTAGGTCAAATTAATAACATCAATTAATCTATCAATGTTGATGCAACCTACTTAAAGCATTCACATTGATTCCTTAAATATGAAATTTATAAGAAAACCTTGTAAACATAGATTCCTCATACATTTAATAGATTTTTCAGCATTAGGCTTAGGGTGTTAAACACTTAATACATCTATTACTATTTCTAGCAATCAATGTAGCAAATATTCTTAACCTAATCAAGAGTTTCAAGATATATTTTCCAATATATATAAACATCAATGATAAAAACATTAAATGGTACAAAGGATAAGAATAACAATATCAAGAACATAGATTAATATTTCAAAATATCACCAAGATACAAAACACTTCAAAGGAATTACACTCAATCCTAAGATAATGAAGTTAGCCACCTGTGATGGCTATTATAATGATCCAAATAAAGAAGAATTGAAGATTGGACGAAAACTGGAGCAGCTATCGCGCCTCTCTCCTCAAAACTTAAAATTATTTCTCAAAACGCATCTTATTTTTTTATAAGAAAATTTGGGACAAACGTCGTTCACTCAAGCGGAACATTCGTTTAAGCGAAAAATCCTGAGAGCTTTAACGTATTTTCGCTCAAACGAGCATCTGTCTCGCTTGGGCGAATCTCAAGCTAAAAATATTTTTCCTTCTTTCAATGTTTCTTCAATTATCTTGATAATTATAATCATTATTCTTGTATTAAGGTATTATACAAATTCATCCTACATAAAAAAAAAATTATTGAAATAACATCATTTAAATGATTAAATAACAATTAAAAATATAATTATATATACTTTTATCACTTATAAACGGACAAGACGATGACATCCTATTCTGTCAAGTTATCGGAATTTAGTGTTCGGTGCAAATTCCGATGTCCCATTAAGGCACAATGTCTCGTTGATTTCATGAACAAGATGTCACCAGAAATAATAGTCGAAAACTCGTGGTGGACATTATATGTAGACGGCTCGTCCAATAAAAAAGGAAGTGGAGCAGGAATTGTACTCGAGAGGCCCGGTAACCTTGTTTTGGAGCAAACTCTCATATTCAAATTCAAGGTCACTAACAACCAAGCCGAATATAAAGCCCTCATCGTCGGGCTCCGGTTGGCCAGAGAACTGAGTACGTAATGGAAGAACTACGTAAGGGTGTCTGTGGTTTACACTCAAGGGGAAAGACAATGACAACAAGGGTTTTGTGAACATGGTACTATTGGTCAACACTTCGTGATGATTATCGAAAATACACACAACGATGCCACGTAATAAAACTTTGAATGTGAATGGAAGACATGTAGGTGCTTCTTATCTTCTTTCCTCCCCAAAGCTAGAATGCTTGGTAATTCCAATTTGCATTGTAATGTGGTAGTAACTATAGTTCCAGAATAAATACATAATAAAACTTAAACCTATTTCATTCTAGCCCAATGCAGAATATGCCTAGTCCCACGCTTTACCTTTCTCTTTTACGATAGCAGACAATAAAATCTGTAACAAATTGGCTGCATCTTCCTTACTGGCTAGTTCCAAATTTGTCTGAGGAAATGGAAGATGAGTGCCATATTGGTTCCAATGTACAGATCTAGTTCTGCCACCACTACCTCCCTTGGGAAAGTGCTGATTTTGCCTCAATAAGGAGTCTGGCCTACTACCAACTATGTGTAGAGCCCCTTCACTACAGTCGGCATGTATTATATTCTCTAGTCCAATCTCCCATTCAATTATCCACTCCAAATCAACAGGGATGCCACAAAATTCAGACTTGCCTAAGTTTATCAAACTTGCACTGAAAACAATCAGTACAAATCTTTCGGTTAAGAAAACAAATTTACCAGCTTCTTTAAGGGCTTTGCAAGCCACCAACTTCTCATCTTTGAACTTCAAACCATCATCAGCTTCAACAAGTACGGATGTCCCAACTGCTTCTTCCCACGAATAAGGTTTTAATGGAAATTCACGGCACAGTGACCTTCGAAGCCGAACCCTGAAGTGTTGCTGTCTTAATTGACTGGGCTACTACGGTTTCTAATACTGACTGCAATTTTTCCCGTAACTTAAAGTATAGCAGCAGGTTTAGTCACAAGTCCTGTAATCCCTAATGCAACTCCTTCAATAAAGAAAGAGGTAAAAGGAAAGCACGGTCAGTAGCCAAGCAAAGAGAATATCTCATCTCAAGCAACAATTGCGATTGGCAATTCTTAATGTTTCCTGAAATATTTAAGAAACTTGTAAACAATTCATTCAATTGATTCACCAGAGAGGACACCAGGAAGACCATGCCTCTCAGCTTCTGTTATTGGAAACTGGAGAAGACCTGTGTGTAACAAGTCCCACATTATAAGGTAGGAGGTTCTCCAACCTCTTGAGCTAGCTTTTGAGGGATGGTTCCCCTCTTAGCCTTATGGTTGTTACACTGTGAGTCCCTATAAACAATAAAGGTGAGCAGAATCAACATCAATAATAACAAAATCAAAACAAATTCAGATAATAGCATTAACAGTAACAACAAGAACAGTAGATGGAAAGCAGGAATAGATGTAGTAGTGGAAACGCAGAACACAAAAATTGCACAGGCAAAAGGTCACGAAGATGCTACAAAAATTTCTTATATTAAGTTCAACTGTTAATACTTGTAATTTATTATGTCTTATCAACTCAATCTCACAAAACTGGTTTTTTGGCTTTTTAAGATGGTATTAGGCTTACCCTAATGAGGTTTGTTGGGACTATTGTACTACCGACTATCAATCCATCCACTAATATCTAGTTCTATGCTTGAAATATCTCATTCTTAGCATTATGGAGTATATTAGACTGAAGATATAACTAAATTATAAAATATAAATGGGTGTAAACCTCACCATATGAACCAATTTTGTAAGATTGAGTTAGACTTAAATTCATTTTAGAAGAGTATGTAATTCAGGGAAGTTGCTGGTTAAGATAAGATCACACTAAAATTAAAATATCTCTTGTTGCCAACTGTTGAAAGGCTTTAGTTTTATTGCTTCTCCATTTAAATTATAAAATAAATATTTCAAATTGGATTATGGAACACCAATATCAAGCTCACTAAAATGAAAATGGCTTTTGCTGCCAACTGTTGAAAGGCTTTAAGTTTTATTATTTCTTCTCCATTTAAATTATAAAATAAACATCTCAAATTGGATTAGGGAACACCAATACAAAGCTCACAACATTTTGGACTTTTCTCAAGGGAGATAGATTATTTAGGGTTTTTCTTAAAATTTTCCTCGTGTTAGATATTAGAGAAACTGCATCTCGGATATTCTCATTTTTTTTTTACTAAAAGTGGTAGTGCTATTGAATCACTATGTTCTTTGTCATCCAACAACTTTTGCACCACTCCAAAATATCATAGAAGAAATTTTCTTCTGGGTTCTGGCCAACAGATAGATTTCCTGCCATGGGGTTCCAATTGGAACAATGGAAGGCAAAGTGGCAACCCGTTTAGGTTTTCCATTGAACATGGGAGCAATTCTTGGAGGACACTGGTCAGCACTTAATCTGAATTTCTCACTAGTTTGAACAAATGAGGATGAATTCTCTAGTGATGCTCCATCATAATGAACTGGAGATGGCGTGATTCCATATTGCAGCCCTGAACAGACATTTGTGAAAAACTCAAACAAGCTTAATATAACTTCTTGTTCAATCTCAAGACGGAAATCTTCAATTCTGCAAGAATTAAGCATAATATGATAAGAATTTACTTTAAAGTACATAATCAACAAAAAATCAAACCAATAAGAGCAAACTGTACAGATGCAATTTTATGTATTCAAATGAAATAAATGAAATGTCCTTTTTCCTCCACTTTGATATTTCTAGGCATAACACAGGAACAGAAGAGCTGCTCATTTGACTTAAATTTTCGATTCTTGTTTTTGTAACATCATTCCGGGATTTCAACTTGGCCAGATCTGTATCCACCGTCAAAGGATAGCATAACTGGATATGGAGTCGAGCGCAATTGGTTATCAATTTGTAAGATTGATATCAGCAAGGAAAAACATTGCCTTTCCACACTTTGCAGTAGATTCATTTGAACATCCTTAATACAGGCAAAACCAATTCCTACAGAAATAGAAGTATGATTAACAGAGATCATGTAAGAGAAGAGATCCTGAAAATAAAGCAGTCCGTTCAGTTATCTGTGGGTATGAATCAATCAATGAAATCCCAATACATGGAACAAAAATTGATATTTGCTCCTTGTATGCCGAAGCCCTTACTACATTGTGATCATACAACCTTTTCTCTGTAGCATGTGCGAAACTTGACTAACATATGGTAATTTGAATCAAGCACACTAAGGACCTGAAAAATATGTATTACATATATATATACATCCATGAGGGTAAGAAATGTATTTTTTCAGGTCAGACATTAAAATCTCTCCTCTTTCAATTTTTTTCTATTTAAAACATTTCTTCGAAAAATGCATGTCTATATAAAACTAAAATCTCAAAATATAAATACAAGCGTGCATAATATGATATGATGTAAGAACTATTTCATTAAAGAGAATAGTTAAGTCAAATCTCAGCTAAGATACAATAGAATGGACAACAAAGAAAATTATTTGATGGCTAAAAACATAAGTCAAATCATTTAGAAAACAATGTAGTTGGTGGCTGTCTTGAATATCAATGCTTGATGATCAAAACTATTCACTAGATAAAATAATGAAAATAAACATAATGATAAAGAGATGCATAGAATGAAAACAGAAACACTTACTAGAATAATTTTTTTAATGTACTTGTTAACAAGAAAATTATATCAATAATTAAAATCCCTCCAAATAAATTAGTTTCGTCCACTTATGTTTCAATAAATTTTTTACAATACTTAGATGAATAGAAAGTGGTACTGCAGCAAAAGGGTGGCTTAATTTAATTCTACCTTCAAAATACAAAAGCCGATACAGAATATTCAATGGTACAAATTAAAATATTCTTGAGTATTTTGGTGAGAATAGGCCCCTACCAACTTAACTTTTAGGGATGAGTCAGACTTAAATTCAAATTCGAAGACAGAATAAAAAAATCCATCTTAACTATTGTTGTGGGCCTTTTAACCATCCACATATGTTTCCAATCTTGCAACTTTCACATTCGGAATGCTCACTCTTCGGCATTAAACGTGTATATTGGAAGTCTCACATTAACTAGTGATATAGCATAAATAGTGTATATGTGGAAGGAAACTCAAACCTCATGAGTTAACTTCTGGGATTGAATTAGGTTTAACCGAAATTGGAAAATTCTAAGAATGAGAAAGCCACTCATGTTATCCACTCACCTTGTTCTGTCACCATTGCTTCTTGCTACATGTTTGGCATCCAAAGAGACTAGATTTTCTTCTCTACACAAAAGCAATAGAACCAAAAGCTTGGGTTTTTTCTTACAAGGGTATAGTTAAATTTTGCATCTTAGTGAAATTCATTTTGCTTTAGTGACTACAGTTACAACTAGCGCATCAAACTCAGATGCAAAGAAGGGATTCTAAATAATCTTCACATCAGTTGACTCTCTTCTTTTGCTTATTTATGTGTACCACACCATGGCTGTTCGATGGGTTGCATTGCATTCAACAACATGGGATGATAGCTTTGAGGGGTAGAAAGGTGAAAGGTGTCTGACCTTGTGTTTTCCAATACATAGTTTAACCTAGTTTATCCCAAATGTGCTTTGGCCTCATGGGAAATCTCAGTGAATCATCCTTCACCCCACAATAGTTCTACAGGTTCAGCTTGATAGTCCTAGATACTTTCCTGGCCCTATTGGTTAGGCCCTAGCTTTGGTCTCAATTGCAATCTGACCTGAATCTCTCTTTATGAGTTTCCTCAGTAGTCTTTTTTGGCAGAGCCCATAACATTGGAATATGAAAAAGGAACTTATTTCAATCTAGTCTAAACCTTAATAAGCTTAATCTCTAGGAAGAGCGTTAGAACATTTGAAAATATCCAATTATATCTTATCATATCTTACATTATCTTCAAGGATTTGCTTCTCTATTTCCTCATTATCTTTTAATATTAGTTAATAACATTCTTCTTTATATCATCATGATTTGTTCACCTAATAAGCTATGATTAATGTAGCATAAACAAGAGTTAGTGCTTAAAGTTTTATGAAAACAAATCAATACATTGTAATATGAATATCTTAATACTTAAAAGCGATTAAGTGTTTCATTTTCTTTTATCTCTCTTCCTCCCTCTATCACTAAATTCATAACTTCAACATAGGGAGTAACAAGACAATTTCAAGTTTTCAAAAAGTAAAACAACACAAATCCTACATATAGATGTTTCAAATAGAAGTCAATATATAGCAAAAAGAAAACACATCCCATAAATTTGCATTGTCCTCAGCAAACCTGCTTCTTTCCTCTTACACCAAGATGTGGAGTTGCTAAAGTTATAAAATTGATTGGCTCCAACCCAGCAATTAACCCTCCTCTGGAAAAACTTGTTCCCAGGGAATATTCTGTCATGCTGTTTACTAGATCACCTATTTGGTCTCTGCTATCATATCAGGTGAATAAAGAACAGCAATTGCATATCTAGCAAACAAGCCTCCCAAAGAATGGGATAGAAAGGAGATTCTTTTCAGGCTCTCTGTCTTTTTAACAACTTGCAAGACCTGTTTTCGTGAAAGGCAATAATCATTCAACATGAAACAATTCAGGAGAAAATAAAAGCTATCAGAACTCAAATTATATAAATTTGCATATCCAAAGACTCACTTCTTCAGCTAATCGCTTTCCAGCTCCATCAATCCCAGTGAATGTCTTAGTGTAAGTATTTGATGAACTAACTGCAACAAAAATAATTGTTAAGAACTTCTGCTAAACAAATACATGTTTGTGTGAGTGAGAATTATTATAATCAGAGAAACAATTTTACATTCATGGATGAGGCAATCATCCAATCCCCAAGAAAATCTTCAGAACATTATAAAACAAAAGCTTACTTATTTGCAAATTATACAAATAGATTTTTCCCAGCATTAGTTAGAAAGAATGTGAATATAACAGTTCAGGCTGTTCAGCACAAGGAGAGATTATTTTCTGCAAATCTACTCAATGTGTACAGTTTATCATGCTCAAGGTGGCTAAGAAATCTAAGTGAGTTGCCTCCAATGAAGGTCATTAATTCAAAATTGTTCTCATGCTTTGACCAATTTCATTTTTGTGCATATACACACAAACTGTCCATCATATAATCATATTCAAATAAAAATATGAGATATTTGAGTAATTTCTTAACAAAACATCCCAAAAGTAATATTGAATTTAAAGAAACTAAGAACACTCTGTTCAATGATCAAGCCTAACATAATGGGAAAAAAAGCTCTTCTAGCTTGTATGTAAAATACACAAATAAGGGTGTGTCCACCATTGATTTAATTCCAACTGCATCACAATCTTCACACACAAAACTAATTTGAACTACTTTAACCCACTAAAATTTAAAAGGATACACCCTTGTAAACTTAACAAATAAGCTCAATTTATAGAACTAAAGGAGCACCATGCAATATATCACAGAGAACCACAAGTTAAAAAAGGTGCACAAACCATAAATTAAATAGTTTTTTCCAAGGCGCCTTTTCAACTCTGCTTCTGCATAAGTCCAGTCCCCTGTGCTGTATCAATAAAAACATGAGTACAACTTTGTATAAGATCAAACAAAAGAGCAACATCCAAATGACCAGCATACAGAAGTGTCCATCGACCCAAATTCTGTAGTGAAAACTGTCAACGGAATTAGTTAAATCCCTGATTTATTTCTTCCTTATTGATTCCCTATAATTTCGTAGAACCTTGTCTTTGGCCTGTAGTACTTCAGAGTGAGGTGTGGCAAAAGAGATTGATTGTCTATTAATTGTGTTTCATGAAAACTTGGGAAAAGCAATATTTTACCTTCCCCTTTAAATGGTAATCATGCTACCAAATGTTTTGATATAGGTCTTACTGATATATGGGGTATTTCATTAGTTGATTCTCATGGTAACTAAAAGTATTTCGTGACATTTATTCATTCTATAGTTAACATACACATGGGGTATTTTCTTTGTCATAAGGATGAGCTATTTCATATTTTCAGACTTTTGTTTCTTATGTTGACAACCAGTTTGCTACAGGTTTGGAAGTTTTACAATCTGATAATAATGGTGGTGAATATGTGTCATAAATTTCAAGAATTTTTCCAACAAATACACCTCATTTCTCACGTTCAAGTCCTTATACACCTTAGTAGAATGGAATGGTTGAACAAAGAAACCATCATCTTTTTGATGTTGTACGCAATATGCTTCTTGAGTCCTCATTATCTTCTAAATTATGTTAGAATCCTTATCAAATGCACTTTATTTTGCTTTTCATTTGTCATCTGAAAATCTGGAATTTGTGTCCCCATATTATCGGCTATTTGGTTCACATCCATGTTATCAAAATTTACATCCATTTGGTTGTGTTTCGTTCATTTATCATCGCAGAATATGTTCAATGTTTGTTTTTGGACTATTGCTAATCTCACAAAGGTAGTTATGTATGTTATGATGTTTGGTTGTATTTCTCAAAATGTGATATTCATTGAGGATCAATATTTCTTTCAAAAACATTTTTCCTTGTTATGATTAAGTTGTGCTCCCTCAATTCGATGATATGCCTCATCGCATTGAGCATTTCAAGCCAAATTTATCAGAGATAGAGACCTCAAGTTACATCGCAGCCTCGATGTCTATCACATGGTTATTAATGGGCCAGATCTTGTATTGATTCAACAACTACAACATCCCACTATTCCATTTCTCAAAATGTGATATTCATTGAGGATCAATATTCCTTTCAAAAACATTTTTCCTTGTTATGATTAAGTTGTGCTCCCTCTCAATTCGATGATATGCCTCATCGCATTGAGCATTTCAAGCCAAATTTATCGTAGACAGAGACCTCAAGTTACATCGCAGCCTCGATGTTAATCTGTTTCTGGTGAAAATTTTGGTTTTTTTTCGATGTCTTAGAGACTTAAGTTCTAACCAAATTTTAATCACGCAAATTCTTTTTATTTAGGCTAGCAAGCAGTTTTCAATCAAAAAGTGTATATAAATCGAAAATGTCACAAGTATCGAGTCGAATGAAAGATAAAGCATGCACATATATTAAAAACACAGAAAGCGTGATAAAGCATGCATATTGAAATCGAAAGTACTATTTTTATATTTTTTTTATATTAAAAAACTCGAGAAGATGAAATTTAACAAAAGTAAAAAGAACAATAAAAGAACATCGAGACAACAAAGTAACGCATAAAATTAAATTGCACTAAGAGTAAATGACATAAATTAAAGTGCGGATAAAAGTAATCGACAACTAGAAAGTAAATTAATCGTGCAAGTAAATAAATTACTGAGAAAGTAAAGAAAACATTTAATGCATAATCTTAAACTTGCATAAGTGTAAATGCAGAAGTTTTAAATTGCATAAGTGTAAATGACGAAGAATTGGTAAAACATGAAAGTACGTACGGGTGAATTTAAATTGCATTAAAAGTAAAGTACCAGGGAAAGTAAAGGAAACGGTAAAAATAGTCAATGAAAATGAAAATCCAGATCGCCAGAATGGAAATCCAGATCGCCAAAAACTTCATGATTCGTCGTTCTCCGGTAGACTTTTCACTTGTGTTTCTGTTGTCTCTGCCAATTTCCCCTTCTTCTTCATCCTTCATTCTATTTATAGGCCCACTTCAACGTAACCTCCTAAGAGCAGTTTAGAAACCGCCACCACGTTCCCATGTATGATGAGTCAACCTCTCTCTCGATCTTCGATTTTCAGCCACGGTTCAAAAATTGCTATTCACGTTCCCATGTGCATGATAACCGTTCATTCGATCTCGACCTCAACCACGGTTTAGAAAATCGCTTCTCATGTTCCACGTGCGCGTTTAACTCTGAACTGCTTTCTGACTGCCTTCAATATTCATCATTTTTACTCTCCATCATGTCATCAATTTTCTCCCATTCGATTCTTCGATCGATATTTCCATATTAATACATGGTCATCGAACAACTCTCGATTTCACATATCGATTTCTTTCCTACCAACACGATCATCAAATGTCTTCCAACCACTTTTCGATTTATCTATCGATTTTTTAACCAACATATGGTCCTCGATTTCCTTCCATCCGCTTTTCGATCCATATATCGATTTTTCTAATTATCGAATTCCTTCTTTCGATTGTCGATTCAGATTCTCGATTTTTTTCCACCAACACAATCACATGGTTATTAATGGGTTAGATCTTGTATTGATTCAACAATTACAACATCCCACTATCCCATTTTATAGGAAGGGCTTAGATCCTTTACAATATTATTGGGTTTGGAAAATTAATGCTTCAAGATTTACCAGCAGTATGAGGGGATGTCAACGAGATTAGCTCAATCCCTTATTTATTTCTTACTTGTTGATTTGATTATCTGTAATTAGTCATGTATTAGGCAAAGTTTCCTTGTATAGTTATGTTGTGAAAGCTAAATTGTGAAATTATAAATTGATATTCATAAGCATCATAGTAAGATCATAAATTGAATCAGATTTATAATTGACATGCAAATGGGAAAAGTATCGACTAAACATAAACGGGATGAAAACAATATCATGATTATATATCACAAAACAGTTTAACATAAACTCGGACAAATAGTCTCCATATATCCAAATAATAATTTATTACGAAGAGCTTTTTGTATTGCATCATTAGACAACATGTATTTCATTTCAGTTTGATCTCCCCCAACCAAAAAAAGAAAAAAAAAATAGTCTTCCCCCTTCTTGCATCATTACATAACATGTAAAAATCATTCAACGAAAGAAATTAGAACATTCTTACTGTTTAGAAATTAAAAGAGATCAACACCAAATATTTGTAATATTCACTGAACAAATGATGCACAAGAGGAAAATATTGTCAAAAATGAAAAATGACTTACGCAGAAAAGCTACTTACTAACTAAAACCCTACACACAAGCTAGATCTTCAGAGATTATGCAGTAGCAGTCCTCAAACCCCATCTAAGAATAATAACAACATTCCATTAAACAATTTGCCAAGTGATAGATATGTCGCTGTGATACAATACAGCCAGTGCAGTCTAAATTTATGAAGATCATACCCTATGTAAGCATACTTACAAACAAAACAAGTGAAATAAACTAGTAAAATCAATAAGAAACTAACATTTTGGCCTAGGCATTTTACATTTTACCCTTGACATTATGTTGTTGCATCACTGTAATGTACTCGCGGAGTCTCTCAGCCTTTTGAGTCATTGAAACAATCATCTCCTCGGTTTCATCTACTATCTGTTTGGGCAAGTAAAATTCCAAAAAATCAAACCACTCACCAAGTGTCATCTTATTCAAATCAAGCCAATTCTCATCATCTTCATTCAAATTCCCCTTTTCTTTCCCATCACAAGCCTCCTCCACCTTCTCCGCACGAATCAAATTCTCAAAAATTGATTCCTTAACCACGCTCCGTTCTCTGTTCGACTTCAGCTCGTTTTCATCAACACTCTGAACCTGAACCTTATCCATACCCACCACTCTCCTACCTCTAGGGCGGCCGCGTGGCCTAGCCTGTTCAGAAGGAGCCACTGGAACCGGGGCCGGAACGGTTCGACCGCGGCGCGAGGGGTTTCTTCGAGGTGGGAGAGCGTGTTGCTGTTGTTGGGGAGGGAGAAAGATGACGTGGATGGAGGTGAATTCTCCGATCTTGATGGTGGAGTCGTGGTGAAGGGGGAAGGGAGTGTTCGGGGGGATCTGGGAGGCGTCCAATGCGGTGCCATTTGAAGAGTCTAGGTCGCGGATGATCCATTTGGCGGATTCGTTGAGAATGGAGAGGTGTCTCGAGGAGATGCCGGGGTCCTTGATGGGGAGGGTGTTGCCCTTCACAACGCGTCCAATTCGAACGGCGCATCCTGGGTTGAAATCTAGGGTTTCTCCCTGGCGAGGGCCTTGCAGGATTTCCAGTCGCAGAATCGGAGCTTCTTCTTCCATTTCAAAAGTGGCTAAGCGATTGATTCATCTCGAAAGCAGAAAAAATATAACTCATTGGAGAGAGCTAAGACGAATACCAAGAGAACGAGCTACCACGGAAAGAAGGTCGACCTCACCCCCTTTGGTAAACCGAAGCAGAGAAAGAGGAAGAAACAAAGCTAGGCATTCCATTAGGGATGTTCTCACCTGTACACACTATCTTTCTTGCTTGAAGAAGGAATCTAAAAAAGAATGAGCTTCTTTCTCGCATCTCCCAAGTTTGAATACTTTTTTGCTGTTAAAAGACCCAATTCAAAAACGGAGTGATGTTCATACTCACAGAAGAGCGGATACATATTTTTTATTATATTTTTGTATAAGGATCATTCATTAATCATTAATGTTTCCCAAACTATTATTTTATAATAATAATGAATTGTTTATTTTTTAAATTAAATATAATTTATAAATATATAAATGAAAAATTATTACGAGGATAAAAGGTTACAACGTGTGTCCAGAAAATGATTCTAAACTATATCAAATAATTTAGTTCGGTAAAATTTATATTTTGATGATTTAATGAAGTCAAATAATTTATAGATTAAGAATATAGTGTACAATGAATTTGCATCAATATAAAATAGATAAAATCATTCATTTATTTCTATAACGTAAGGTTCTATCGTATAAAAGAAATAGAATTTAGATTTTTAACATATTAAAACGATTAAATTTCTCTAATTATTTTAATATGTTAAAAACATAAACCTCAAACCTCAAACACTAAATCCCAAACCACTGACCCAAAACATCAAACTCCTGGCTCCAATCTCGTGACCCCAAATACTAAAACCCCTACAACTTGAACCCTTAACCCAAATTTTTAATCCCTAAACCATTAAATTTAAATTATTAAATATAATTAATTATTTTAATACATAAATATAGTCATTTTTTCAATTTACTTCATACAAATATTAATTAATAAATAAAAACTAAAATATTATTTATATAATTAAAAGTATATTATTTTAAAAATATAAAAAAAATTATATAAATATAAAGTTAATATTATTTTGGTCGCAATTTTGTAATAGAAGTGTTAAAGTGAGTCATTTGTAAAAGTTATATAATTAAGTTAATCATTTATCTACCCACATTAATATTAAAGTGAATTGAGTAAAGTATTTATATCTTCATGAAACACTTTTAAAAAATATACTATTATTTATATTTTAAACCAAACTGATGATTCTCTTAAATTTGTGAAAAATGGATAGACATTTATAATAATAAGTGATACCGTTTAAAAAAATTGTAAATTTTAAAATGATAACGTTATTATAGAAAAATAAATAAGGAAAAATATAACAAATATCGATAAAATGTATGAGTACATGTATAGGAAAATATTTTAAATAAAATATTATAAAATCTGTTTTTATTCAACATCAAATAAAATATAATACATAATAATTTATATAGAAAATATTTTATATTAAAATAAAATATAATATAATTTTTATTTTTAAAAGAATAAATTATATTTTAATAATAATACATAATAATTTATTTTTAAAAACATAAAAAATTATATTTTAAATTTTGTTCATTTATTAAGATACAAGTTCTTATTAAAATAAATTAACATAAAAAGAGTATTCTATAATTTGAGGAAGAAACTACCGAAACCAGGGGGAATGTGAACTTTATGAGAGTGCTGTCTATGTGCGCTTCAACTCACTTTATTCTTTTTTTTTTTTTTTTACAACTAGGATTTACCTAACGAAATCTTCTCCATAACTTTGTTTACCAGTGTCGTAAATTTCTGCAATGAAAGTGTGTGCTCAAGTTTTAGGTTGTAACATGCATTCAGTAGTGAGTGCAATTTGTAACAGAAAGGAAAAGAAGGGTCTTGGGAAGGGAAGAGAATGAGCCATTCGGGCATGGTGGAGGAAGAAGCCCCAGACGAGCTAGAAAACGTTCAAGGCTTAGTGGACGCCCTCACCGCCGTTCGGTGGAAGCGCTACCAGGTAACAAAAACCCCCCTCCCCTCCCACTCCTTCATTTTCCACAACTCACTCCTTAACTACCTACTCAGGACGCTGTGTTGGAGTTGTCGGAACATGGCATCGTTTTGATCGTCGACGAAAACGGTTGCCTCCAAGCCAAGGTTTATCTCAAACGAGAGGTGCCAATTTCTTTAATCGATTCCATTATTATGTATTGGGTTCTTTTTTACTTCTTTCTCCCTATTTCAATTCAGGGGATTGTGGTCTTTATTTGCAGCTTTTCATTCGCTACGATTTCAAGGCACGAGGACGACCTCGTTTGGGAGTGAGTTTAGGGCATTTCGTTGATTGCTTGAACGCCTTCTCGCTTCCTGGTCAATCCAGCGTTGTTTAGATTCAATATCCAGGTCCTGACATGCAGCTTCTTCTCAATTATGTAACTAATTATTCCCTTCCCTTTTTTTTCATTTATGATTTGGATCAATCCTTGAAGCTATGGAGATTTTTGTTAGCACCACTTCAATGGGTAGAAATGATAACATATAACAAGATGTGCACGCACACACTATTTAACTCATACATGAGTGAGAGAAGAAACAGTACTATAAAATTCTTGTGTAGTGAGGATAACAGTATATCAATTCTTGTTCCTAGGCTCCTTATATCCCCTCTCGTAAACAAACAACACTATACCTTTTTCAATTGTCAGGCACATGGCAACTGGACAAGCTTTTATTTGTGCTTGCTTTATAAATTATCTGCTTTAAGCAAAGTAACTAAGCCTCAATGGCTCTTCAACTTCAGGAATATAACTAACAAAACATGTCCATGCAAAGAAAGTGATCCAGCCCATTATGTCTATTTCCTATAAATCTCCTTCTTGACTTAAATTCTGCCATGTCTGATTAGAACTTAATCCATGTTTTACTAACTCCTAGCCAAATATTAACTTTCAAAAGCATCATGACCGGAATCGTGGTATGTTTTTTACAAATGTTTGTTTGCAACAAACGAGGAACTCATCATTGGTCATGGCCATTAGCTTTATACTTTTAGTCATTAAACATAAGTTCAGTTAGTTATGGTCCTAACCCTGCATAAATTTGAAGATATTAGTCAAGGAACGAGTGAATTTCACAGGTGTGGATTAAATCAAATGATGCTAACGATGATAGTTTATTGGGTACTACAGTGGCACCTGCGAGTTGCCAGGTCATGTTGTAGCCTGTGGTCACCACATGTAGTACATTGGATCATGTCTTCACAAGGTAAAAACAACATAGTGAAAGCAACAAAGTTCTCTTTACACGCTTCCTACACAAATATTTGAAAATAGAACATGTTTCATTTTCATCCTATATATTTCCAAAACCTACCAAATTTGTCCTACCAAACTCTGTTATAAATGCTAGTGGAAGATGCTTCCATGGCATCCTATGTGCAAGTGAACAATTGCCTTGCCAATTGGGGATTTTATTCTAAAATCTGTGGTTTTGACAAATCTGGGATGGAACTGAACCATGTGGTTAAGTGCGTGAGACCCATCAACATATAGTCCACACACAATGCAGTGTCTACTATACGTCTGTGTACGTAAGTCAAATCAACAAGTTCCGTCTGCCTATCCAACATATTTGTGGCTTGAAAAATATTTGGTCGGTTATGGAAATATTTGTGACAAATGAATGAGAATTTAGTTTTTGGATGGAAATGAACTCCTAATGAAATTAAGGGATGAAAAATGCATTTTTTTTTTTTATAATAGCAATCAAAAAGCACACTAGCAGAATGATGTATATAAATAATTTTTTTTCACGACATTCATGAGTCTGACATAACTTAAGAATCGTTGTCAAGGATAATTTATATACACTCTCATCTTTTAATCCACTGATACATCTTTTAAGGACAAACACTCTAAAATGCACAATACTTTGGATATGGTCGAGGCAGGGGCGGCTCAAGGATTTGGGAGACCTAAAGCAAATTTAAGAATAAGGCCTTTTGTTTAGTAATAAAATAATTTATGTTAAAACGTATCATAGTTTTATTTAAAATTTATTTTTTGAGCTTTTTGTGATACAAAATTATCTATTAAATTATCATAATTAATTTTATTTAACATTTCTTTTTTAATAGATAATAAAGTCAATCCATTTTATCTTTGTTGAGATAGGTTGATTTTAAATAATTTTTTATTATTTTTAATTTTGAAAAATTCCTTTCAACTAAAGTAACTGATACTTGACATTGTTAACATTATTCTATAAGCTATATATGCATTTGGAAAAAGATTTTATTCTTTTTATATAATTAAGAATGTCAATTAGTTTATCATTTTCAAATCTTATAATTTTCTTTAAGATATTTAATTCTGAAAAAAAAAATCTAATCCATTAAGATCTAACAAAATATTATGTTTCAAAGATTTTTCAAGGTTTAAGCATTTTTCTTTCAAAAGTATATAGTCTAATTATTTTAATTTTTTAACACTAAATAAAAAAACCAAAAATATCTTCATATATTTTAAATTGTTCAAATCTACTTTGAAACATGGTAATTGTTTTATCTACAATATAAAAAAAGTAATCAATTATAAATTATTCTTGAAAAGATTTTACAATTTCATTATTAACATTTTTATCAAATTGTTTCTTTCTATGACTAATACGTTTTTCACGAAACTTAGGCTTTATATTCATTACAAAAGCAATTTTCTTAGAAATTAATTCATTTTCTCCGTACTTTTCAAGAAATGAAAGAAAACTTTTTAATTATTCAATAGTTTCATCAATGCACATATCTTTTGATTGTAAATTTTTACTAACTGAGTTAAATGCAAATAAAATGTCATACCAAATATTCACACCTAACAAAAATTCAAAATTTTATAATTCATAAATTGTTAAACAATTAACTTCACTTTTTATTTTAGGATCATCATTAACTTTAGCTAATTCAAATAAAACATCTCTTCTTTGTGAAGTTTGAAATCTTACACTTTTCACGCTTTTAATACGACTTTCCCAATGTGTTTGTGACAACGATTTAAGAGTTAAGTTATGTATGTGGTCTTGTAAAATTTTCCACCTATGTCTTTATTATTATTATCTTGTTTATTCAAAGAATACCCACCTGTATTTTCTAATTTATTTTTCTTATCTATTTTTATAAATTTATCCATAACTCTATTTTGTGATGAAATTAAAGTCTTGACTTTTCTCTTTTTTAGATTTTTCAATTGTCTGATTCATATTTTCTAATTGCCATATCTATATGTTTTTATATGAAATAAAAAATTATAATATATAAAATACTACTAAAGACAAGTATATAAAAAAGAATGAGTCCAAACAATAAAACCTAGTTTTTGTTGTGAGTTGTCAAGAAAATAAACGGTAAACAAAACTATAAAGGCGCAAACAATGTAAATTGAAAAAGACACTATCAGAGTATCCTAATGTACAACAAGTTTTAAAATTTAGAGTTTTACTTGATATGACGCACTATTGTACTATAAAAAAAGAAATGTCAAATAGTTTTTTGCTTGAGTTGCGTTGCCTCTTTCTCGCCTTGAAATAAGTGAAATCGAAACATACATAAACGAACGTCAACAACCAACACATTATACAACATATAAGAGATGATTCAGATAAGAAATTGAAAATATTGAGTCATTAATTAATATGTTATGTGTATGTATCAAATACTTAATATGAATAGTCCGAAAAATAAAAAAAATAAATAGATGAAAACTAAAAAGTCACGAAAAGAGAAAATAAAAATTAATTAATAGAATAATAGAAATAAAAAAATTGGACTTTTTTAATTATTAATATTAACTAACCAATTTTTTTCTTAAAAAAATTATAATTTATTAAAAAATTGTTAGAAATAATATTAGTATTTAAAAAATATTTAAGAGATATTTTTTTAGGGGGTCTAAAGCAAGGACTTTAGCTGTTTGGGCTCAGAGCCCATCCTAAGTAAGTGGACGGAGTCAGCTTCAGAGGAGAGAGCACTGCTAACAGAAACCTGTGGCGTGGGGAGGCGTAACAAGCCCCGTATCGATGTCTCCTTGTCAGCGACATTATAAGGTGGGAGGTTCTGTAACCTCTTGGACCGATTTTGAGAGATGATTCCTCTTTATGATTATTACATTGGTATTTTTATAAGCGGATCTTCACCAGGTCAACTTTTGAGGAATGATTCCTCCTTAACTTTATGAGCATTACAGGAGGGGTTGGTTAGAGGGTAAGTGAGGCAATGGCGGTGTCTTCGGAGGAAGGGAAGATGAGGCGGTTGAGATAGAGTCGCCTGCTATTATTCTTAGTTTTGCTTCCGCTTGATGACTTGTTACGCAATGGTCATGAGGTTTCCACTGTCTCCACACATGTAAGTCATTCCTTCTTCTCCTCCTTTACAAACAAAATCACTGCATTTCATTAGAGAGAGCGATAGAGAGAAAGAGTGAAGTGTGAGTAATAATATATAATATAAATATGAATGGAGGATGAAGAATCAAAGGAAGTGTGAACTGAAGCTAGAAAAATAGATTTAAATTACTTTTAACGATGGACCACGTGGGTTCAATATAAAAAATTTCGCATTATTTTAAAAATTGTTATCATATTTTTTAAGTCTTGGTTCAACGAGAAATAAATAACATAAAAAAATCCATTTTAGACTAGAAGATATATGCATGCGTTTTGTTTTGAATTTTTTTTTTTCTTCTCTTCCTTATTCATTTATCATATTATCAACTAACTTAATAGTATATGTTATATTTTCTTTGGTTACCTATATTATAGTTAATATTCATTGAGAATTCTTTATCATCGAAAAGAGTAATTGATGATATATAAGATGAAATTGATACAGAAATGGGTATAAATATTAAAAACTTGTTGTATTTTATATAAGTGTTTCTGGTGAAAATTTGATTGATTTCGATTTATGGGGAGTTGAGTCCTAATCAAATCTCGACCATATAGATTCCTTTTACTTAGGCTAGCAACTAGTTTTCAATCGAAAAGTGCATGAGAATGTAAACAACATAAATTAGTATGCAAATCGAAAGTATTATTTTTGGTATTTTTTATTAAGAAACGTGAAGTAAAAAAAACAGAAAAATTGTTGAATCGAAAGTAGTGCGGAATATTAAATTGCAGGAATGTAAAAAACACGGAAACCTCAAATTTGCATTAAGTATAAATAGCGAGAAATCGAAATTGCAGGAATATAAACAACAGGAAATCGAAATTGCATAAGTGTAAATAGCGAGAAATCGAAATTGTAGGAATGTAAATAACAGGAAATCGAAATTGCATAAGTGTAAATATCGAGAAATCGAAATTGTAGGAATGTAAATAACAGAAAATCGAAATTGCATAAGTGTAAATAACGAGGAACTTAAACGCAGAATCTCAACTTACATAAAAGTAAAATAACATGGAATTAAAAGTGCAGAAACTTAAAGTTGTTTAAACGTAAATTGCATCAAAATAAATTGCATGAACATAAATTACTAGGGAAAGTACAAAAAGCGGTAAAGACAATCAATGAAAATGGAAATCCAGATCGTCAGAAACTTCATGATTTCGTCGTTCTCCGGTAGACTTTTTCACTAATGTTTCAGTTCTCTCTGTCAATTTCCCCTTCTTTTTCCAGTCTTCGCTCTATTTATAGAGCATCCTTCAAGTAACCTCCTAAGAGTGGTTAATAAAACCGTCACCACGATCCTACGTGCACATATCTTCAGTCTTACAGTAAAAAACTGCATTCCACGTTCTCACGCATAAGAGAACTGCTCCTTTGATCTTCGATCTGAGCCACGGTTTCGGAACCGTTTCCCGTTTCCCCAGTATGTGTTAACCGCTCCCATGATCTCGATTTCAGACATCGAGTATTTTGAATTTTGCTTTTGATTCCCTTTAATTCTTAACTTTGCACTATTCTAATCTATCGATTCTCTTCAACAATAGATATCGAAATTTGTTTCTTCAATTCTCGATTTTGATCTTCGATGTGTTTTTATCTTTGTGGTTACCAGGTGTCTTTTACCAATTTTATCAGTTTTTAACCAATCATATGATCCTTGATTTTTCTTACCTTCGTTTTTCGATCCCTTTATCGATTTCCTACTAACAAAATGCCCCCTTGGAAGAATATAAATATTAACTTTTATTTTATATTCTTACAAAAAAAAATGATTCCCGCTTTCGAACATTTGGAGGCCCAAAATAACTTTTAGGGTTTAGGGTTTCTGGGGTTTTAGGTTTTCTTTATACTTTATGTCATCTATCACATCAGTTTTGCTGCTATACTGCACACGCCACATTAATTACCCTTCGTTTTCGTCGCTTCCAATACCCTAGTTGGTTTCTTTTAAACGTTTGTTAGCCTTTTTACCCTTGTTTTTTACCACGAACCTCACTTATCCTTCTTTGCACTTCCTAATCTTCAACCTTTCGTCTTCATCTCTTCTACAGACTGTAATGGCGACCTCATCCAAATCCTCTGATTTCTCCGCCCCACCACTCTCCTCGGTGACCTCTACCCTGATAGAAATCAATGGGAGAAAATTTGCTCTGGTGCCTTTGATGGAGGAAGCTTCACAGAGGATCGCCGAAACTCAGGTACTTATTCCTTACATTACTGAGAATGTAAGTTATGCATTTGGTGGTCTTATCCGCTACTGTGGCAGATCTTTTTCCTCTTCCCTCACTCTTTCTTCAGAGAGCAAGGCTCCTATCCACCAGTCTGAGGTTCGAGTTGATTTCTTGAATATTGTATCTAGAGTATACCGTACGGGCCCTCCCCACAAAAAATCCTTGTATATTAGGTGGTTTGATCGAGTAAGAGCCAAGTTTGGGAACCATTGGAGAGATGTGGGGATCTTCGATTTCCTGCATCTGTCTCGATGTGATTTATCTTATTTAGATATGGCTATGTTCTTATCAGCTGTCCACCTTTGGAATAAAGACCTGCATGCATTGGAACTGCCTTGTGGTCCCTTTTCGCCCACCTTCTTTGAAATTGCTGCTATTACCGGACTAAAACCCATAGGGGAAAAATATTTTAAGGGTGCTTTTCCTTCGGATAATTCTTTAAGATAAAAAATCGATTGGGAATCGAAGGCGTATGGACATTTTATCGAAAAGCACTTCATCGATGATCCATCGGTAGCTGTAACTGATGAGGAGCATATAACCTTCCTGGTGTATTGGTTATGTACTCATGTTTTCTAGATACAATATTCAAGAAATCAACTCGAACCTCAGACTGGTGGATAGGAGCCTTGCTCTCTGAAGAAAGAGTGAGGGAAGAGGAAAAAGATCCGCCACAGTAGCGGATAGGACCACCAAATGCATAACTTACATTCTCAACAATGTAAGGAATAAGTACTTGAGTTTCAGCGATCCTCTGTGAAGCTTCCTCCATCAAAGGCACCGGAGCAAATTTTCTCCCATTGATTTGTATCAGGGTAGAGGTCACCGAGGAGAGTGGTGGGGCGGAGAAATCAGAGGATTTGGATGAGGTCGCCATTACAGTCTGTAGAAGAGATGAAGACGAAAGGTTGAAGATTAGGAAGTGCAACGAAGGAGAAGTGAGGTTCGTGGTAAAAAACAAGGGTAAAAAGGCTAACAAAAGTTTAAAAGAAACCAATTAGGGTATTGGAAGCGACGGAAACAAAGGGTAATTAATGTGGCGTGTGCAGTATAGCAGCAGAACTGATGTGATAGATGACATAAAGTAGAAAGAAAACCTAAAACCCCAGAAACCCTAAAAGTTATTTTGGGCCTCCAAATGTTCGAAAGCGGGAATCATTTTTTTTTGTAAGAATATAAAATAAAAGTTAATATTTATATTCTTCCAAGGGGGCATTTTGTTAGTAGAAAATCGATAAAGGGATCGAAAAACGAAGGTAAGAAAAATCGAGGATCATATGATTGGTTAAAAACTGATAAAATTGGTAAAAGACACCTGGTAACCACAAAGATAAAAACACATCGAAGATCAAAATCGAGAATCGAAGAAACAAATTTCGATGTCTATTATTGAAGAGAATCGAGAGATTAGAATAGTGCAAAGTTAAGAATTAAAGGGAATCAAAAGCAAAATTCAAAATACTCGATGTCTGAAATCGAGATCATGGGAGCGGTTAACACATACAGGGGAAACGGGAAACGGTTCCGAAACCGTGGCTCAGATCGAAGATCAAGGGAGCAGTTCTCTTATGCGTGAGAACGTGAAATGTAATTTTTTACTGTAAGACTTAAGATACGTGCACGTAGGATCGTGGTGACGGTTTTATTAACCACTCTTAGGAGGTTACTTGAAGGATGCTCTATAAATAGAGCGAAGACTGGAAAAAGAAGGGGAAATTGGCAGAGAGAACTGAAACATTAGTGAAAAAGTCTACCGGAGAACAACAAAATCATGAAGTTTCTGGCGATCTGAATTTTCATTGATTGTCTTTACCGCTTTTTGTACTTTCCCCGATAATTTATGTTCATGCAATTTATTTTGATGCAGTTTACGTTTAAGCAACTTTAAGTTTCTGCACTTTTAATTCCATGTTATTTTACTTTTATGTAAGTTGAGATTCTGCGTTTAAGTTCCTCGTTATTTACACTTATGCAATTTCAATTTCCTGTTATTTACATTCCTGCAATTTCAATTTCTCGTTATTTACACTTATGCAATTTCGATTTCCTGTTATTTACATTCCTACAATTTCGATTTCTCGCTATTTACACTTATGCAATTTCGATTTCCTATTGTTTACATTCCTGCAATTTCGATTTCTCGCTATTTATACTTAATGCAAATTTGAGGTTTCCGTGTTTTTTACATTCCTGCAATTTAATATTCCGCACTACTTTTCGATTCAACAATTTTTCTGTTTTCTTTACTTCGCGTTTCTTAATAAAAAATACTAAAAATAGTACTTTCGATTTGCATACTAATTTACGTTGTTTACATTCTCATGCACTTTTCGATTGAAAACTAGTTGCTAGTCTAAGTAAAAAGAATCTACATAGTCGAGATTTGATTAGGACTCAACTCCCCATAAATCGAAATCAATCAAATTTTCACCGAAAACAATAAGATAAAATTGAAAGATATTCCATATTTCATATATTTGAATTTATGGGAGATTAATTATATTTTACATGAAATTACACTATTAAATTATAATTGTGTGGGAATTTTTATTTGGATTTAATGAGTAAAAACAAATAAAAAAATAGAGAAATTTATTATGTTTACGTATTATGTACTTAAAAAGAATCACTTAAAAAGAAAAAAAAAAACATTCGATACCACGATAATTTATCTTATTTCCAGATTAACAACGGTAACTTCCACCTGTAAATATTTTTTTAACGGGGAAAGAAGCATCCAAATGTTACGGAAGTAACTTTCTTCACACTGCAGCACAGGGGAAGAAAAATGCTTGAGATTGGTTGCCAAGAAAGTTACTTTAGAAGCCCCAATTCTTACTGGCGTAAAATGTCGCGCACCATGGAGTGGGCGGCGAGGCCGGAGCACTTGGGAGGAATTCCCAGAAAACTACTGATTGCGGCGGTGGGCGCCTTCGCCAAAACGGTGTCGTCTCTGCTGAACACTACCTCCGTTCACAACGCCGACACCCTCCTCCGCCTCGTCCGCTCCAGACCCCGCCGCATCCCACTCATCACCGTTAGCAATCACATGTCCACGTCAGCACACTCTTTCTTGGTTTTCTTTCTTTTTTTCTTTTTCTTTTATGTTTATTTGTGAATGCAAGTTTTGCAGTTTGGACGATCCGGCTATGTGGGGTTTTAAGGGTTTTCCCATCTTCGATACTAAGTTGGCTCGATGGGTTCTCGCGGCGGAAGATATATGCTTCAGGAATGCCCTCTATTCCTATATTTTTCGAGTTGGTAAATCTACTACTTTCACTTCCTATTCATTGTGTTTCTATGTCTATAATATGTGGTAATTGACAATTGATTAAATTGTTATTTCTGCTTGAATGGTCTTGCAAGGAAATGCTATTGCCATTTCCCAACCTTTGTACATTTGATAAAATTTAAGTTTGAATTGACAAAGAAAATAAAAACAAAATCGGTGAAAACATTGTTGGATATAAACAAATGTATTTATCAATTCTAAGGTTCTTTCTTCGATGAATCTAATGCTGGATATTTGATAGTCCCTGACCAATCACATTGTGGTGATTTTGTTGAAGTCCTTTTGTATGTTGTCAGGATTTAACTATATACCCCGAGCAAAATTCATGTGCACCCTTTTTGACATTCGGGAAAGGGTATTAAGGAATGTAATAAAGGGATGCAGGGTGTATAGAGAAATAGCCATGTTGTCTGTACTTGAATTGCATAGAATTAAGCCCGTTTCACTTCATTAAGGTAACAAAGTTTGAATTAATTGGAAGGTTAATGTGCTCTTTACTTACTACTATCTATTTTGTATGATTGGGTTGATGCTTATTAAATTCTGCATCAAAATATGCTGAAGAGTTTTTCTAGTTGTTTTATAGAAAACTGTTGTTTTGCTGTTTCTAATTTGATAAATTTCACAGGGAAATGCATACCTATTACAAGAGGTGGTGGAATTTATCAAGATCACATGAATGAAGCGCTTGAGCGCTTAAATGATGGAGAATGGGTATCTATGTAACATTTACATCTTTCCCCCTTCACAAGCTTAACTCTTTTGTTATGATATTTTGGTAGTTTATGTTAAAGTATTGGTAATTATGACCTTCTAGTGTTGTTATGAATACATTTGTTCTCGTATATTTTGAAAGTTGAATTTAAATGGATTACAAACTTTCCAACTCATGTCTACTGTAAGTCACCCAAATATAACACAGGATCCTAAAAGACAGATGGTAGACCAATTGTCTTGTGGTTCAAATGTATAGAAACCCACATGGCATAGGTTAGTTAGAGGAGAAAGGGCTTAAAGATTATTCTCTTGTTCAGTTATATGGCAAGGCAAAGCTTTACTCTTGGATAGTGTTAGCAAGTAGCTATGCTGTACCTTTCCATTGTTTTTTCTTAGTTTACCCTTTTATGTTCTGAAACTTGCATAAAATAAAACAAATATCTGTCTGGTTTTACCATTCGTTGCTGGGTTGCCAAATCATATTCAATGAATTATTTTGTTGCATGATAGATCATGGATGTTGTGACTTGTGATTGATCTTCCCATGAGGACTGACTTGCAGACTTGTCAAAACAAAATACTAAGATATTTAGATAGGTTTGGTATTGCGGGGAAATTTCCTTGATAGAATCAGCAAGTCTAAATTTGTAATTGTGGATTTTATTGCATGATGCAGCTATAGTATGCAACCACATTAATTGCAGCTTGCTTTTGCCTGCAATGCAGTATCCCCTACTCAAACATGGCGGCAACTTGTAATTTCAATATACAGGAAGTTAATGTTTCCTAGAACATGTGTATATATACATGTTAGAAATTTGTTTATTCATGATAATAATAATATTGGTTTACGAGTTAGGAAAGTGATTTTAAGTTTTTGTAGATGTTCTTTGGATTGGGAAGAACTTTTCATTTCTTTTTTGTTTTCTATGATTATTTTTCTATTGGATTTTTCAGTTTTTCATTAAAGATCAGATATTAAACCAAACCCATTTCTTGTTGGTGATTTCCTAGATCACCAAAGCTTCAGCAACCATTCTCTTGTAGCACATAAGAAAGGCTCTAGACTGCAAATTGTTTTATTTCTTTTCATTCTATGCGTTTTTTAGCGGAATTGAAAAAGGGAATGGAGGAGTAAGAAAGGAGATGAATTTCTATTTACTTGATTTTTCCACTGGGTTGCGGTAAATCAATGCTGGTTGATGGGTGTGAGATGCTTGTTTTTCTTTTTATTTTACTGTTAATGCTGATATTTCCCTTGCATCACTGGGTGAGCAGTGTTTAAATGAGTTTCTTTTTATGAATATAAAATTGCATGAGTATAAGGATGCATGTGCCTCTGATTTAGGGAAAATGTTTATTATAAACCATTTCCTCTAAACTAAATTAAACATTAGCTTTTCTCCTATTTTGTGCAAAAAAGAAAACAAAAACCAATTATCAACAGAACCTTTCATGCTTAATTTTTATATGCAATTATTTGTGAAGCATAATATAGTAAAATGGTATACCAAATTGATAAGAGAACTAGTTTCAGAAGTTCTCTAAAACTGGTGCTTTGATTAAATAGATGCTGGCACACTCTGTTTTACTATTATTTATGAACTTGTTATCGCAGCTGCATACTTTTCCAGAAGGAAAGGTGAATCAAGAAGAGATACCTATAAGGAGGTTGAAATGGGGAACTGCTAGTCTAATTGTCCGAGCAGCTATAACTCCAATCGTATTGCCAATTGTCCATCATGGTTTTCATGAGGTACGTTAGCACCTCTCTGCTTTCACTGTAAATTTTATATCCTACTGCACTTCTAATTGTGTTTTCTACCACAGTTGTAGCACTGCCAATTGATCTAGTCTGTTGGAATAAGAAAGCCTCAATGATAAGCTGTCTTCAGTTATTAGACATATTCGGGATTGAAGCATTTATATCTTGTAGATCAAAAACATTGTCTTGCATGGAAAACGGTTTTATCTTACTAGCAAACTATTTTGCAAAATAATAATTTAACTGGAACTATGAAGATAGCGGCGATCATTTACAAATATTTCAAGGACTAAATGACTGTTAAAAGTAAGTGTTGAGAACATTTTTCTCATGCATGCTTCCTTCCTTCTCCAGGATTTAAGTATACTATATTTATAAATTGGTCATAATAATGTTCATTTTTATTACAAATTATAATCCTATTGATTAGATATATGCATTCTTGTGTTATCATTAGCAAGAGAACAGTTTTTTTTTCTGCATAAAGTTGTAGTTATTGTCTTTGTTGATCACTTGCAATATTGGTACTGTAGTGCTGTAGCAGCATAGAGCGGTCCTTGGCTGCCACAAAACTTCCTTAACAGAGCGTTTTGGTATCACCACTGAAATTTCAGTCAAAATAAGAGTTTCACATGCTACAGCAGAACAATGCCAATTGGTAGTGAAACACCTTTTTTGGCCCTGATTCAATGTCATTTTTTCAGGTAAAAGTGAGATGCCTCCCCCTTTACAGACCTTGGGAAAATTAGGATTTCCCAACTTTCCCTCCATTGTGGCCTCTGTTTCCCACCCTCTATTACTCTCTTTATACTTTGAAGCTCACCACCCCCATTACCAAAAGAAAACCTTTCCTTGCAGTTTTCTAGCAAGTGTGACCCTGTTGTGTGACTGTGACCTTCTCTTTTGGGTTCAGACACATTGTTGCTGTTTGTGGCCTCATTGTTTTTGTTTTGGGCAAAATTGCAGTGTTCTCTGGCGTCTGAATAATAGTAGAGTATCGTTAAATGTTTGAAACTGGAAGTTATATCGTTTTGTTGACTTTTGTTGTCATCGATGCATTTGTTTTGCTCAAGATTGGATGAATTTCAGTTTTTTCTGTTTCTGAAGTTTATTCAGAGTTGTACCCAATTCTTAGGGTTTTTACTTAGTGGTGAATTAACTGAATTGTTATCACTCTCAGTTCTCTCTTTTTTTTTAGAGTTGCCTAGTTCTCTTTCCTTTCTTGTTTTAACTTTCTGGGCACATCAAGGCTGGTGCCTTTAATTGTTAATACTTCCCCCTAAAATCATGAATTTTGAGTTTTTTTTGTATACTTTTTATTATTTTAAGTGTGAACCACTTAATTATGGCTTTCTCAAGTACTAAATATCAAGCTTCTACACCCTTTTGTAGCTTGGACGTGGGGTGCTTTGAGCAGTCCAAGTACTTTTTGCCTAAGTGCTGAGAACCTATTCCCTTATCACTAGAACCTTTAAGAATGGTTTTGGTCTATATAATTCTTACTAGTTTAATGATTGAGAAGCTGTTATGTTTTAAGTTGTATGCTTATTCTGGTTATTAATGCTAGGTTCTGCTTATATTTCTAGGTGATGCCAGAGAAATATCTGTTTGATAGACGACCTCCTTTACCATTATGGAATAAGAAAATTGACATTATTATTGGCGATCCAATTGAATTTGACCTTCCAGCATTGAGGCAAAAAGCTATTTCCCAATCTCGTAGTGAGTCATTCCCAACTGTTGGATGGCCGAGCACTTATGATGGTTTGGATGAAGCAGCGCAAAGATATCTCTACACCACAATTTCAGAGCAAATCCGTGGTGCAATGGAGAGATTAAGGTGTTTTGGTAAAAGTTTTTTGAAGTCATAGGAAGGTTTGAGTAAGAGATTACGGTGTTTTAGATATTGAATTATTCTTTGTTGTTGTAATTGATGGTTGAGTGAGAGCTCTTCACTTTCGGCTTCATAAAATCAAGTGTCATTCATTAGAATACATACTAGTTTTGTAGGGGTAGATGTGCAGCCCAAAATTAGATGGGCTTGTAATTCAAAATCCAAAGTTTGATTTTAAGAATAAATTTTTTGAGTCCATGGTAACCTTAGATGGTGTATAATGGCAATTTATAAGTGTCATCATCACCTTGGACATTTCTTTCTGTGTAATTTACAATGCCCTAATCCATGGTTTCATGTCATATGGTGTGTCTGACGTATCGTCCGTATTTATTTGTCCACATGGTGCTGGTCCTATTTGGTTTGCACCTTCTTTTGTGGTCCCCAACATCACACTCTCGTTTTCTGCTAATAAATTTACTGCTAAGAACGGAAAACAAGTGCAGGCAGCATCATTCCGCGTTAGAAGAAATTCAAAATTTTGTTTGGAGCAGATATAGGAGTAGGGCCTTCAGGTATTTTATTATTGAGGTGAAATTTCTGGTATCCTGAAATAATTGAAAATAATATAACAGTAAGCTCAATTTGAGATTCCAGTACATAATAGAATAAAGTGAAAGTATGAATGAGCATTTTTGTAAGTGGTTGACATGATGTATCCACACAATCTTGTATTAGGAAACAGCATTTTCTTTTTTTGTTTTCTTGCATTCGTCGCCTTTGTTTATCAATAAAAATAGGCTAAATTATTCTGTAACTTTTTGTAATATAATAATGTTTAATTAAAATAATTAATAATAGTTAGGTACTTGCAAGAGTGAGAATATTGGTTAAGAACCAAAATCCTTTTTCAATATCACGATTCATGAAACAAATTTAAAAAAAAATGTTATAGGATATCACCATTTTGATGAATTGACGATTGATGAACACTTATTTATTAGGTGATGGCATACACATCTATGATAGCAATTTAGAATCCAATCTTGTAAGCTCAAGATTTGACAACCAAAATGTAATAGCACCCTTAGAGATTCTCACACCATTTTGCAGCTATCACTCTTTTTCTCCTTAAGTTATATCTTATGAATGATTTGTCTCACTTCAAAATAGAGTATAAACTTATTATAATTCTTTCTGTTTTGATCTGATCTATTAAACTTTGTTCAATAAAATGTTTTATTCAAGTCATACTTAGTTTATATTCAAGAAATAATGGTTGTAAGTTATTGAAACCATTCCTTATAAGGTTAAACCACTCAATTACATCACAATTAAATTCATTGATAGAAAGCATGCATAATCAATTATAAGAGTGAGAGTATTAATGGATTGACAATTATACTTTTGAAGTGGTGGGTAATAAAAATAGTTCTGCTGAATGATGTCCAGCTTGACTTCTTACAACTCATGGGTTTATTGAATTGTGAAAAGAAAAATGAAATCAGTGTGGTTTGTTGGGATATGGTCAATATGCACAAATTACTCGCTGTTATGGCGGATTTTTATCACATAATGATTGATACGTTTGGTAATAGAGCAAAGTAAAGGGTGATATGCAATTTTCATTGTCTAATTGGATATTAAACCCAAGAGCCCGTTTGGCTATATTTGAAAGATGATAAAGAGCAAAAATTACTGTCATGGGTTTGAGTGAGTGGAAGTGAATATGATTTTTTTTTTTTCTGGTATATATGTTTTGAGTATCTAGCAATAGATGGGAAATGGAATAAAAGGAATGCTAGATGTGGTTGTGGGAGTCCTGCTCAGAATGGCTACAACAAGAATTTTCCATCAAACACATGGTGGGTGTCCATTTTGGATTGAAGAGTTTTTAGATTGTAAAATATGCACATGTTTGAGATGACAATTATATATATATGAAGTGATGTTAGTTAGTTAATCCTAATTGGTCGTGAATCGTGATGACCCTCTTTGCTGAAATGGAACTCATAATAATGATTATTAGTGAGAGGAAGTTTAACAAAAATTCTCAAAGTTGTTACCAAAAGTTGGCTTTCCTAACAACTGGTGATTATTTGAATCAAGTTTAGCTTCCATTTACACGCATATTTGAATTGGTCCACCCCAATTCAAGACCACCCAACTTTCTCATGCTTCTCTTAATTGACAATGCAAACTCTTGTAGCCACCACTCTTCTGGTTGTTGGCCTAGAGTAACTTCAAAGGTTGTCTTTCATAAACTCTCGAACCATTCTCTCTTCTTTTGCAAAAAAATGGAAACAATGGAATAACCATTCCACAATGGGTATGAAATATTCAAAGTGCCCACTCTCGTGAATCTTATAAATCCACATTAATTCAACCCATGTTTTCCCCCTCTCTTTTGCAATCTTGTTTTTTGTGTGTGCCAATTCATTGCTTCGCTCTTTCTTTTTGTGAATCACTTCATTTCAATTCTCTTACCTTTTTTTTTTTTATGCTCCAACGCATTACTTATACGTGTTGAAAAAAGTTGATAATAGTTAGAAATGATAGTCAATTAACCACTTTTGTGACTAGTTGAATATAAGAAAGATTTTATTATTATTATTATTATTGTGGCATTATTTTAGAGTGTGAAAGTGAAATTTTTTGTAAAAGCTAGCTGTTGAGATGTGGAAAAGGTATTAATGTTTCATTTATTATTAATAGTAAATAGTGATGTAGTTGCTGAGCTGTTAACAAATTGATACTATTAATGAGGGATTGGTGGGAAAAAATTAACATTACTTTGAATGCAAAAACATAATTTATACAAAAAACTAATATTTAAATTCTACATGTTTCAATTAGTATTCAGAAAATCTGTTCCAAATTTAAAAATAAAAAATAAAAATAAAAATCTCGATGACATATGTTTGTATTTTTTTCCAACAGAAATGTCATCTTCTTTGGTGATTCTTACAAAAATTTAAAACTATTAATAAAAAGACTAAAGCGTATTTCAGTGTCTTATTCTTTAAATACTAATCAACCACCGTTTAATTTTGATTTAATAATATTTAATTTTTCATACAGTGACAGGCTCAATTATATATTATTACATATTATATTTCCTTAGTATTTTTGAGATATATAAAAATCTCTTTACGAAAGATTAATTAACAATAAGAATTGAATCAAATCCATTAAAAAAGAAACAAAAATACATTTTTCTTAATAAGGATAGTCCTTTCCTCATTATCTCTATAAGTATTTTTTTTAAATGTTTTTTCAATAATTTTTATGCAAAAATTGAATAAGATTATTATAAGTAAAAAAAAATGAATATTTAATATAACAATTCTATGTAAAATTATTTATTTTTATTTATAAATATTTTTTGGGAAGATATTTATTGTTAGTTATGGTATGGTGTGGACTGGTTACTCTTGAATAATTATTTTGAGTACCTCACGCATAACCCCACAAAACAATGAACTCATGTGTAATGTTACGAAAAAGTTATGGCATGCTCAATTTTTTTTTTTTTATATATATATAATTTTCTGGAATAAAAATAGTTTATGAGACAGTTAGATCGTTGGTGTGATGGTCACTGTCACTTGGTCCAAAATCAATACTTCTGCATTTTGCAGAGAAGATGTCTAAACATGAAAATTTATGAGAGTTTCCAAATTGATATCAGAATAGAAACATGCAAATATTCTTATATTACTGGATTCAGAAAAAAAAAATGACATTTGCTTTGATGTAAAGAGGCAACATGAAAGTTTAAAGGTTTGAACTTTAGATGTTGTTAGCATGAAGAGGTTAGAAGCCATAATTTAAAATTGAAATGAGACCTGACAATGTTGGTAAAAGAAGAAGTGTAAAAACCAGAGTGAGATTTTAGGGTTTGTTTGAGTGTGAAAGTTGGGAGAGGGGACCCCGTAGGCATAGAGCGTGCAATGAGAAAAATCCTTTTTGGAAGGGATATGTTTGTAATTACAAAACTTGGAAAGTCAAGAGTCCTACAATGTTTTCAGGGACAAAAGGGGCACAAAAGTTGTAGGTCCAATGTTTGATGCTTCAAATTATGTACACATGATTTCTGGTTCATACTTGTCCTTCCTCTGTTCATAGATTGCGCACTCAATTGGTAATCCTTTTTTTTTTTTTTAATATCTTTTTACAATATAAAAGATTATCATATTTTATAATTTAACCCAATCAAAATGTTAAAATCAAATACTATCGTTACAAAAGAATCAAAATGTTCATGTTATGAGTCAATATAAATATATTAAATTCCCTTTCAATTTAGATTTGTAGATAAAAAATATGATTAAAATTAAATATGTCATTAAAGATGGTCAATAAAAATTTTCAACATAAAATTGATAAGAAATTGTATTAAAGAGAAATAAGTACATTCAATTTATTCTAGTTAAGCTTTAAATTAGGAATTAAAATTAATATAAACTGTAATAAACAAACATTTTTTTTGGTAGATTTTGCATAAATTTAGCAATTCAAATAATTATCCTTAAGTAATGAATAAATATTTATTTATTTTGTTCCTTCACAAAATAATCCCAATTGAGATAGTGTGTGATATAACAAATGTAACACATTTCTTTCAATCGAGTTAAACCTTTGGACTCTTATGTATTTTATATTATTCATCTAAATTTTTATTTTTCGATGTAAAAGTATTTTTATGATTTGTACTCTTTAAAGTTGTAAATATTATTATTATTATTATTATCAAACACCTTTAAAATGAAAAATAAATAAATTATTAATTACTTTTACTTTTCTTCATTCTTAAATATTGAATTAATCAATTTTAGGATATCCTTTTTGTTTTTATGGTTTTTTTTCTTAATTTCAACTAGATATATTATCAAAATTAATACTTTCAATTTGTTTGGAGAAACTTTTATATTAATTTCTTCAATTTTTAACTTATGCTGAATCTAATTTTATTTTTCTTCAACTAAAACTGGCTATGAAGAAGTTACCTTCAAACAAATCCTTTGCTTATCTAAATTTATTTTATCAAATTTCTATTTTAAAAAAAGTCACTAATTACTTTTTTATTTTTTTATCATGAAACACGATTTTATTGTTTCAAAACTAAAATCACTGTAATGTTTATAAAATAACGCAATTAATCTTTCCAATCTCTAAAATACTGGTACATTAATCTCTGCAAAGATTTATATTCAATTATTATTTATTTATTTTTTTACCTCAAAAGGTCATGTTTTTTTAAAAATATTTTTATAATTTGAATTTTATAATGTAAATTTAAAGGACTCATAAAATATAAAATCATGATATTTTAAAAGATTCATAAAAAATTAATGGATTCCATACATTTAAAAATTATAAATATTTTATATTTTTAACATTTTGTCGTGAAATGTATCTTTTTCCTATGATTTTCATTTCAAATCCTTTTACCTATTATTCCAATTCAAATCCTTAAATAATAGTTCCAATTCAAATTTTATAGATTGAAAATATTTGGTAATATTTTCTTTTATTTGATAAGCTTAATAAATATACTATATTTATTTTTTCTAAACATAATAAATATTTAATAGTTTTGTATAAATGAATTATATATTAGATTTAATATAAGGAAAGAGAGTCATAATTACAATTTCATAATATTTTTGAAGCTAAATTTATTTATGTGTAAAGTAAATAAGGAAAGAGAGTGGAAGCTTTTCATTTGGCCGTATTACTGTTTGGTCTTATTGCTTCCAACAAACAGGACTGTTAGAGTTAATTAATACTACATTTTTTTAAAAAATGAGTAAAGAAAGAATAACAATGATGTTCTTCTCAAACTTCATTTCATTCTTAGCGATAAAGGAAAGAGAAGGAAAAGTAGTAGTAATTTTGACGAGTGATTTTTTCAAACCCTTTTTGGCACATCACATATAATGCACTCGTGACTTTCCCTCTACCTTCACCAAAACTCAGCTTTCTCTCCTCTCATGTAATCTAAATAGACCAAATTGGACTCATTCTGACATCTCTCTCTTCCATTCATTACAAGTTTGCTACACACAACTTCTCCCTTTTTTCTCAGACCCATGACACCAATGTTATTGTAACTCAGACACGTCTTTGCTGTCACAAAGGTTACATTTTTATTTTAATTTGCACTTCTATTTTTTTTCAAAATTTCATAGCCTAGTTTCTGGGGGTGCTTCCATCTCTCTCTCCCTCCCTTCCTCAATGCAAGGATGTTCCCGCAAATGGATGTTTGGTTCTTTAAAGTTTGTTGCTTTCGTGGATCTTATGTTTGATGCTTGAAGCATTTTCATTCCCGCCTCTCATTCTTCTGAATTTGCTCAATCTGACAAATGGGTCTGATGATCCCATTGTGCTTTGTCTTTTCTTCTTTGAAGAAGATTTTTCAGTTTTCAAGAACAATCATGACACTTGTTCTCTTTTATTTTTTCGAGTTTGGACTCTTACATACCAGCAAGGCTCACACGGTTGCTGTAATTTTATTTTATTTTTGTTAAATGTGTGTTGTTCTGACTTAATTGGATCTTTGTGTTATGCAGAGAGAGAGCTTGAAGGGGGAAAGGAGAGCAAAATTTGTTGATTTATGATAATCTGGAAGCAAGATGATCACTGATGTGCCCCCATCTATGGTTCAAAACGGTAGGTCAAGCAGATATTCCTTTGGCTCTAGCAATGGCAATGATGATACCCCTGCACACAATGGTGCTGCTGTTATCAATGTTGATGACTATGATAGTGATAGCTCCAATTTTGCCCCACCGTGAGTATCATCCTTTCTTTTGGAGTTGTGTTGAATTTTTTTCTTTAAAATGATGATGTACAGTTTGGCGTTCCGAAAACTTTTATTTGGACTAAAAATCAGTATATTTTCTCTTCCAATTATTGGGTATCAGAATCTCACGTATCTTTCTTCTTTGGTAGATTGTAGAATATTTTGATGTAAAAATTATGGTTTGAATCGAAAACAAATTTTACTTGTTAACCCTTAAATCTTATTTTACGTCTTTGGTACGGTTCTACAACTTTCAAATAGTACTTCTGAAGTTGTAACTCATACTTGGTTGAAACTCTATAAACTTGAGAAGTTTAACCTCTGGCAAGCACTTACGGAACTTTCATTGTATTCATGCAAAACATTATGCTTGAATTCCGTTCTTGACAATGATCAATCTTACTCCTTGCAACATGTTTTTTTTGCATTTCCCTCTTGAACTGAGTGACTAATTTTATGTCAGCAAGAGAATTTGCTGTTTTTCCTTGTGCAGCATTGCCCATTTTTTAACTTGGTATTGATCTGTTTGTTGCAGCACGCCATCAACTATGTCAATGGCTGTTCCAGCAGAACTCGCTGGAGCTGTGCCCTTGATTAACAGATTCCAGGTGAGAAAATTTATATTTTAATTTATACATAAACATAATTCTTCAAAATTTTATAGCTTCCACGTTAGTTGTGGTCTCAATTATCTGTCTAACTAACCAATAACCTGAATTACTGATGTTTTTTTGTGTTTTGCTTTGGTGCATGAACATTTGATTTAGCCATGTTTCTGTTCTGTTCTTGTTTGTCATAGGTGGATGGATTTTTAAAATTGATGCAGAAGCAAATTCAATCTGCTGGGAAACGTGGATTTTTTTCTAAAAGATCTGTAGGTCCTCAAGTTCGAGAAAAAATTACATTTGAGGACATGTTGAGTTTTCAAAAGGTAATCAAAATCAAATCACATACCAGTTTTTTCAAAATATGTGGGGTATGAAGGGCGAACACTCTAACTCTTGCAGGACCCAGTTCCTACATCATTGCTCAAGTTAAATGTTGATTTAGTAAGCAGGGCAACAAAATTATTCCAAACAATTTTGAAATATATGGGAATTGATCCATCTGATCGTGTAACTCCTATAAGCTTAGATGAAAGAGTTGAGCTTGTAGGGAAACTATACAAGCAAAGTTTGAAACGACCAGAACTACGAGATGAACTTTTTGTTCAGATATCAAAGCAAACAAGAAATAACCCTGAGAGGTATTCAACTTTCAGATTCAGTATCGGGTTTCATGCTTCATCTTTTTTGGCCTTTAGTCATTGAAGCTATATCATCTATGATTTTTGCACTAGTGATTAATATTTGTCTCTCAAAAAATAGGCAATACTTGATTAAAGCATGGGAGCTCATGTATTTATGTGCATCCTCAATGTCTCCTAGTAAAGACATCAGCAGTTACCTATCAGAATATATTCATAATATAGCAAATGGTGTGGCTACTGATTCCGAGATCCAAGTCCTTGCATTGAATTCATTAAATGCTTTGAAGCATTCTGTCAAGGCTGGTCCCAGACATATAATTCCTGGGCGTGAGGAGATTGAAGCTTTGTTGACTGGGAGAAAGCTTACAACTATAGTCTTCTTCCTAGATGAAACATTTGAAGAAATTACATATGACATGTCAACCACGGTTGCTGATGCTGTTCAGGTTCTTCAAACTCTCATACTTCTCTTTGCATTTGCATACTTGCCTAACTGATGCCTTATAATAAAATGCTACAGAAGATTGAAAGTAAAGGTGAAATTTGAATATATTATAAATGATTTGATTGAAAGTGATTGCAGAAAAAATTTAGTCTCTTGACAGAATCTAATCAACCTTATGAAGGTAAATCAATTGCATTCCTTTTCTATAGGCTGTGGTGGCATTTAATCAACAACTTGAAATGTGACATTAACTCTTATCTGCTTCTGCTCACACTTCCATGCATTTCAACTAATGTCCATTTCTAGGATTTATCACGGAAGATTCAAAATTACAGAATGCAAAATGTGAAATAGATAACGACTATGATGTTTGATTAAGAGGAGGGGAGGGATTTTAAAAATTAATTTACTTTTATTTCCTTAAAAGTTTGGATTCCAAAATATAAATATGGTTATTTTTGTCTCTACTTTGAAAATGTTTTAAACCTCCCCCATCCCCTCCAAATCCCCCAATATTGGAGGGAGCAAAAATGGGATGGGGAGAGATTTTGCTCCCACCAGTCCCCTCCTCTCTTAAAGATTGAACAAACAAGAAAGGTGTTAAAAAAAACCGCCTGCTCCTCTCCCCTCCCCTCCGTTTCCCTACAGCCAAACACTATGTTAGTCTGTAGATGGAATTTATGCAATCTAAAATGAATGGAATCCATATGCATCTAATTCCAAACCTTTTCAATTGAAAACTTCAGTTGCTTTTAATCAACAACTGAATAAGTTTTAAGACTTGAGCTAGAAAAAAGGGTATGAGTTTTTAGATGATTAGTATTCCAAGAACTATAAATGTAAATACCTTCATGTTGAAACTTAAGGTTCAAGTTTCAGAAGGGTGGTGCAAGGACATCAGTAAATATTTTATTTTCCCCTTTCTCTAAGCTTCAAAAGAAAGATTGATTGATTCAATTAGCATCTTTTTTAGGTTTAAATTTTCGAAAATGGCATCATTCAATAAAATGAATAAAAAAGCTGTTACTTGTTACTTTTCTCTAACTTGCTAGTTTACATTAATGTTTGCATTCAACAAGATGAATGGAAGCTATAGGCTTGTACTTATTACTTCTGTATGACTTACTAGTCCTTCTATGACCATTATACCTAGTACCATAAAGTCCACAAATAGCCTTTCTTCTCATTTGTTGAAATAAATAAAATAAATTGTGTATGACAACCTTTTTATTTCTTAGGCAATAAATTGCTAAAACGTATTGAGAATGGTACTAAAATGTTACTTTAAAAGTTGGGTCTTGCTAATTCTTGACCACCTATGTCTGCAGTGAGTAATATGATATTTTTCAGGAAAAAATAGTCAAACGGAATCTTTAATCACTAATTAGTTATATTAACTAGATGCCTGGTGCTGACTAAGTTGGGAAATGTTCTTTATTTCTTGAATTGTACGGTTTATAAACAAAAATGACTTATTTTCATTTATATGCTTTAGTGAATTAGTTTTGTGATTAATTGAGCAAGGTTTCCTTTCATTTGATGAATTTTACTTTAGATTTTATCAATGAGAAGGAAAATTTGTTTTCAGCGGTATTCATTTATTTATGATGTCACCTTAAATTTTTTAATGGATATGCTCTGCTTTTTTGCATCATCCTACTGCTTTACTATCTTATAAAAAGGCAGCTCACTTTTCTAACATAATCTCATTAAAGTGTCCTTTTGATTGCATTACATATTTAGTAGCAGCATTCTGTTCTTAAATTATTTGTTGAACAAAACATCATATTTGTTTAATTAAATTAATTGCTTAAAAGAATGCTATGCAGTATTTGTTTGTTTGCTTCTGATTGAAGTTCTTCATATCCCTAAACAATTGTGCGTACACTATCAAGTTTATTTCATATTATTCCTTACTCAACATATTTACTTCAGGAACTCATATTATTCCTTACTCAACATATTTACTTCAGGAACTCGCAGGGCTCATTAAACTCTCAGCATACTCCAGCTTTAGTCTATTTGAATGTCGTAAAGTTGTTACTGGCTCCAAAGCACCTGATCTTGGGCATGGCATGACTTTTTCCTCTCAGTTGTTTTTGTTATATTATAATCAAGCTGAAATTAGTAATCTGACAATTCCTTTTTTGTTACTCAGAGGAGTACATTGGGTTAGATGAAAACAAATATATTGGCGATCTGCTGGCGGAATTCAAAGCTGCAAAGGATCGAAGTAAAGGAGAAATCTTGCACTGTAAATTGATATTCAAGAAAAAGTTATTTCGGGAGTCAGATGATGCGGTGACAGAACCAATGTTTGTGCAATTGTCTTATGTACAAGTATGCCTTTTTGTAATGAAACCTTATATATATGATTACATGTTTACCTAGTTTATGTACGAAGCTGCAGTTACCTTTAAGTTATAGATTTGTTGATGCTGGACGTAATTCTACAGTTGCAACATGATTATATTTTGGGCAATTACCCTATTGGAAGGGATGATGCTGCTCAGCTTTCTGCTCTACAAATCTTGGCTGAGATTGGATTTCTTAGCACACCAGAATCATGCACGTAAGTATTTTTTAGTTTTCATTTGAATTAGTGTAGTGAGTGAACTTGTTAAAATGTAATTCCTATAACCTCGTGACACTGATGTAGATGCTGTATTTGTCAGTGACTGGAATTCACTTCTGGAGCGTTTCCTGCCTAGACAAATTTCAATGACAAGAGCTAAACGGGAATGGGAATATGACATTATTTCTCGTTATCGTTCATTGGTACGAGAAGACCATCTATTTATTTGTCTTTGACCTTCATCTAGTGACAATTATGAGAAATTCAATTTTTAGTTTGTATTGTTAATTATACTTAAGCCTTTGTTGTACACATAGCATCTGACATTTTTCAACTGTGTTTGTCTTTTAAGTATAAAATTTCATATTTGCTTCTAGCATATACTTTATAGTAAATGAATATACTTTGAGTTTCTTGATATTTTTTTCCATTCACTTATACAAGATTTTCTTCTCCCTTAATAGGAGAGTCTGACAAAAGATGATGCACGCCAACAATTTCTGCGTATATTGAGAGCACTTCCTTATGGAAATTCTGTTTTCTTCAATGTTCGCAAGATTGATGATCCTATTGGACTTTTACCTGGTCGGATAATTTTGGGAATTAATAAAAGAGGGGTATGATAAACAGAAAAAAGAACTTGTTAAACCAAACATTATATAATTTACTATTACAATTATTAAAAAATGAATTGTGCTTCTAATTGTGTGCTTCTTCTTGATCAATTGGCTATAGATTCATTTTTTCCGCCCAGTGCCTAAGGAATATTTGCACTCAGCTGAGTTGAGAGACATAATGCAGTTTGGAAGCAGCAACACTGCGGTCTTCTTTAAAATGCGAGTTGCAGGTGTTCTCCACATATTCCAGTTTGAAACCAAGCAGGTAACTTTGTTGATCTCACCCAAGCCCTTGTTACTTTTGAATTATTTTGCCTCACTGGTATTTTATTTCTTCTTGTAGGGAGAGGAGATTTGTGTAGCTCTTCAGACACATATAAATGATGTAATGCTGCGCCGCTATTCAAAAGCACGATCTGGTGGTGGCAGTGGCGGTTCTTTGAATGGAGATGTTTCTAATAATTCTTCTAAATCTTCTAATATGGAGTTATATGAGAAGCGCGTTCAAGACTTATCAAAACTTATTGAAGAGTCTCAAAAAAATGCTGATCAAGTATGTCTAAACTTCTAGTTTATGATATAGTACGCAGTGCATGTTCTACACCAAGCTGAGCTATTAAGCCTAGAGGATAGTTTCTATGGCTTGTTGCATAGTTATAAAACCTATAAGTTATTTGCTTCCCTTTGGGTAGTCAAAGTTGAGTTTGATACTAGTTGCCTTTTGGTAAAAAGCAAAGAGAATTGCGCCTGGCTAAAGTTATCAATATAAATGGATACGTTTTATTTTCATGCATATTGGATGTCTAATACATGTTTCTGGGGTAGTAGTTTAATCCTTAATGTTCTTGAATAGTTGCTTGAAGAATTACGTGTGAAGCAAAAACAAGAAGAGAAAATGCAAGAAGAATTGGATGGCTTGAAAGAATCCTTAAAAGCTGATAAGCAAAATCTGGAATCAGTTACAAGTGACCGTGATAGACTTAGATCATTATGCATTGAAAAAGATAAGGAACTACAGGTAAAGGTCAATTGATCTTTTATCTCTACATTACTTATAGATGTGTCTTGCTGATTGTTCAATCTAACAGGCTGCTATTCTAGACAAAAGGAATATGGAATCTAGGATGGCTAAGTTAAGTAATGCGGTGATAGAGAACACTGCCAAAAAGGATCTTGCTAATGCTGGAAATAGACAAGTAAGATACTCTATGAAACTGTAATTCATGCATTTAATATAATCTTTCTGATTAATATTGCTGACTTTATTTTTTATGTGTGAACATTAACTATGGGCTTTGTATGGGAACCAATAGGTGACTCAAAAGCTTGAAGATGAGCTAAAAGTTTGTAAACATGAGTTGCTTGCAGCCATCGAAACTATCAAAAGCTTGAAAAGTGAAAAAATGATTTTGGAACAGAATTTATCTTCACTTGAAAAGAGGAAAGCTGGAGAGGTAACATAAAAAAATTAAAATCGCTGTTAAAAAAAAATCATCAAGTTCTAGATGACAGTGGTTGTTGTAATGCAGATTAGTTCCCTTCACTGGAAACTTGAGCAAGAACGCAAAGCTGTGAAGTCTGAAGCATACGAGCTTGAAAGGAAGCTTGAAGGGTGTAGGCAAGAATTATTGGCTGCTAAGGCTACTATTTCAGTCAAGGACTCTGAGTTGGCTTCAATGCAGAATAATTTGAAGGAACTAGAAGAATTGAGAGAAATGAAAGAGGTTGGAATACTTTTATTTCATTATTTTCACCGTTCCATTTGTATGTCAACTAGGTTTCAATGTTTTGTTTATTTTCATTCATTGTGAATTTAAAACATATGAACATGTTTTTTTATTTAGGACATTGATAGAAAGAATGAACAGACAGCTGCCATACTGAAAATGCAAGGGGCTCAACTAGCTGAAATGGAAATACTTTATAAGGAAGAACAGGTTTTAAGGAAGCGCTATTTTAATGTAATAGAAGGTGGGTGATAGAAACTCTTTCTATTTTGGAATTAAGTTTATGTGAACGTATTAATATACATACAAACATTATTGTCAATTATTCAACCTTGGAACTTGGTTTTATTTCAGACATGAAAGGCAAGATTAGAGTTTACTGTCGACTAAGGCCTCTCAATGAAAAAGAGATTGCGGAGAAAGAAAGAAAAGTTCTCACTGCAGTAGATGAGTTTACTGTTGAATATCCATGGAAAGATGACAAGCCAAAGCAGTACATATATGACCGTGTTTTTGATGCTTATGCAAGTCAAGAAAGTGTATTTGAGGATACAAAGGCAAGTCATACATCATTTTCATTTCTTGCTTACGGGAATATGACTAACTTAAACTCATTGCCAATTTTTGTTTTATTTGCAATGCAGTATTTGGTGCAGTCTGCTGTAGATGGGTATAATGTTTGCATATTTGCTTATGGTCAAACTGGCTCTGGAAAGACATTTACAATCTATGGATCAGAAAACAACCCCGGGCTTACCCCACGTGCAATCACAGAACTTTTTAGAATTTTAAGAAGAGATAATAACAAGTACTCTTTTTCCTTGAAGGTAAAAATTTCTAGAATGGAGATAACTTAATTTCATTCAACTTTCCACATTTAGAATTGTTGTCGTTAGATCTAGTGATTGTACACACGAATATTGTTGTCCATAGGTATTGTTGGTACAAGAAATGTACGCACTGTCTTTTTGTGATTGACTTAGTCTAATAGTTCTGCAAAACTTTGCTTCTTATCTTATATGCTGACTTCTCGTGTCACTTATGCAGGCATACATGGTGGAATTATATCAGGATACCCTCATAGATCTTTTGTCACCAAAGAATGGAAAACATTTAAAATTGGATATCAAGAAGGATTCGTCGGTAACTCTCAGTTGTCATTGCTAATTTCAATTTCTAAATATTTTATTACCTGAATTAAAGGCATATAAACCGGTTGGATTTGAAGGTGTGCTTCCATGTATGCGTGGTTATGATTGCTCAGTCAGAAAATTTACTGATCAATGGTTACGTTTAATAAAAATTCATATTCCATTTACCCGTGATTTCTAACAATTGTTAGGGTGCTTGGAAACATCTCAAAATAATTGTGATCATAACAAGAATTTATACATCAAGGATTTCTCAATCACAACCATAACTGTTTTATTTTGATTGGTAGGGAATGGTAGTTGTGGAAAATGTGACAATTATGTCAATTTCTACAATTGAAGAATTGAACACTATAATACAAAGAGGATCTGAGCGGCGACATATATCAGGAACCCAGATGAATGATGAAAGTTCAAGATCTCATCTCGTTCTATCAATTGTAATTGAAAGTACCAATCTTCAAAGTCAGTCAGTTGCTAGGGGAAAGGTATATTTTACATTTTTCTCCCTATTGGCAACAGTAATATATCATTTTTATTTAAAAACAATTTTTTAATACAGTTTTAAATAGCCACTTTTATCAAACAACTGTTTTTTTTTTTTAACAGAAAATAGTTTTCAAAAGTAGGAAACCAACAAGCCTATTATTTTTAATCTCTATTGTTTATACTCCTATTATCAATCCTTCCTTCTGATTAATTAAGGTCGCTTCACGGCACTTGCTTATTTATTTTATGTTGAATTCAATATGCAGCTGAGTTTTGTGGATCTTGCTGGTTCAGAAAGAGTGAAAAAGTCAGGTTCCACCGGGAGTCAACTTAAGGAAGCTCAGAGCATTAACAAGTCATTATCAGCACTTGCAGATGTTATCAGTGCTTTGTCTTCTGGTGGTCAACACACACCATACAGGAATCACAAGTTAACAATGTTGATGAGTGATTCACTTGGTGGTAATGCCAAAACTCTCATGTTTGTGAATGTTTCTCCAGCAGAATCAAATTTGGACGAGACACATAACTCTCTCATGTATGTTCTTCATGTGTTTATTTTATTGGTGCATCTCTTGTTCTTTCTAACACTATTCTTCAATGCTTGTTTTAGGTACGCTTCCCGAGTAAGATCCATTGTGAATGATCCCAGCAAAAATGTTTGTTCAAAGGAGATAGCAAGGCTGAAGAAGTTGGTTGGATATTGGAAACAGCAAGCTGGTAAAGGATCTGAGTGTGAAGACTTGGAAGAAATTCAGGATGAAAGATCAACTAAAGAGAATGGTAATGGCAGTAGGTAAAAGATATAGCTACCAAGAGATTGGATTCACAATCGGGGCTCTGTTTTTCTTTTGGAATGTGTAATGATCATTTTCCATGGTCAAATTGTATATCTTTTTAGAGGGATCTTCTAGGCTGTATAGTTGAAATTTATGTACATAGTATTAATCCTTTCGACTCATACACATACAAACAATGATACAGGTATATTCATTATTCTATGTGAATGTTTCTTACCTTCAAAATGCTCTGTTTGCTAAAGATTTAATACAAAACCATCTCTCACGAGTTTTTAAATGGGAATTGCATTGCTTTACTCCTTTGCATTTCTTATACTTATAACTTCTCTTATATCCACCTCACATTGTTGAATTACAATATTTTTATATCATTCAATACTTTTTTACAATATAATTTTTATGGATTTATCTCTGCTTAATTACAACTATTTATTATTTTCAAATTGTGTTTTGAGTTTTATAAAAATTATAGGTTAATCACTCTCTCATATACACACAGACACACACGTGTATTAAATAATTTTTAACGAATGCTTTTAATAAACATGATTTTCATAATGGGTATTTTCACTCAAGAATGAGTATTGTTCAATGATATTAGAGTAATTTTGACTTACACAATTAAATTAATATTTTCTTGAGAGAAAAACTTTTCAATTGGTGTATGGTCAAATTTAAATTTTAAAAGATAGTCTTTATGATTTATATGTTGTATGATTAATGTTTTCCCCTATATCTTTTAAGAAAAATCATGACCCAACCAAAGTTATGCATTGCTTTGCATGCGATGATAATCCGCATATTTAATGATAATTGTGTTTTTAACTTTTAAATATATATATATATATATATATATATATATAATATAATATAAAAAAAATTATTTTTACTCTAAATAGATTAATTTTGATAGGTTGTTGAAAGCGTGAGATAAAATAATTGATATTAAATAAATTAATTAATTAACTATGGTTTGATGATGAGGCTAATGAACGGTGAGATTTATAGAATCATTCAATCATAAATTGTCTTATTAAATTATATGAAATTGAAAAAAATACGTTGTGTTCCATTATTATTCCATTTCTAGTAAAATAATAGCAATAAATGTGCATATTTTAAAATTTCAAGCTTTTACTTCAAATATTGTTTCTGGTGAAAATTTGATCGATTTCGATTAAATCAGAGATTTGGGTTCTAACCAAATTTCGACCATGTAGATTCTTTTTACTTAGACTAGCAAACGATTTCAATCGAAACATGCATGAGAATCGAAAATCCCATAGTATTGAAAAACGCTAACAACACAACCTAGTGAGCTAGATTGAAAGGCAGTAAAACGTATCGAAAATAAAAGGCAGTACAGAACATTAAACTACAGAGAAATGTAAATGCAGAGACCTCGAAATTGAGAAATGTAAATGGCAGGAATCGAAATTTTGTGAAAGTAATATAGCATGGAATCAAGATTGCAGTAATGTAAATAACAGGAATTTGAAATTGCAGAAGTGTAAATGGCAAGGAACTTAAACGCAGAATTTTAACTTGCATAAAGGTAAAATGACAAGGAATTGAAAGTGCAGAAACTTAAAGTTGATAAACGTAAATTGCAGGAAAGTAAATTGCATGAACATAAATTACCAGGGAAAGTGATACAAACCAACTAGTGGACCCAGACCCAATAAGGAAGGATGACCCAATAGTAAGGAAACGAGCAAGAAAGAAGCCAGCGTGGATGACTGATTATGTCTGCGGACAAAATTAGAAGATCCTGATATGCTCAAATTATGTCTGCGGACAAAATTAGAAGATCCTGATATGCTCAAATTAATTCCTGAAATTTCTGTTGCAAATTATTAGTTTAATTACTGTTTTATTTCCCTAATTTTTGCTTGATTGTTAGCACCCAATTCCTTTATGATGTAATCAAAACAGAACAGAATAAAAGTTTTCAAGATCCTTTTTCCCCCAAATTCTATTATTCTCTTTCCCTTAATTTTCTGAGGAGTGGACACTCACTCGAAGAGTGTTAAAACCTTTGAGCATTCTGCAGCAGAGTGTATCAGAAAGTAAAGAAAGCGATAAAGACAATCAACGATAATGGAAACCCAGAGCATTAGAAACTTCATGATGTGTCGTTCTCCTGTGGACTTTTCACTAACATTTCTGTTCTCTCTGCCAATTTCCCCTTCTTCTTCAAGCTTCGTTCTATTTATAGGCATCCTTCAATATAACTTCCTGAGAGTAGTTTAAAAAACTGTCACCACGTTCCATGTGCACGATCCTCAATTTTTACCTTAGTTTACGGTTTGGAAAACCACTTTCACGTTTCATGTGCATTATAACCGTTTCCCTCAATCTCGATTCCAGTTATCGAGTCTGATTTTCCTTAACCTTGACTTTACACTATACTCTCATTGATTTGTTTCTCTCTTTTCTGATTCTCGATTTCCATTCTCGATTTATATGTTCATACTATCTCGTGGTCACCGGGTGTCTTCCAACCATCTTTCCGATTTATCAACTTTTTAACCAATCATATGATCTTCGATTTCCTCTCCTATTTTTCGATCCTTATATCGATTTTTTACTAACAAATTCCCCCTTGAAAGAATATAAATTTGTATCAATTTTTATATTCTTTCAAAAATAACTCCCGCCCTTAAACGTTCTTTGAAGCTCGAAATAACTTTTTAGGGTTTAGGGTTTCTGGTGTTTTTTAGGGTTTTTTCTGCTTTATGTCAAATATCAAATCACATCACCTTTACTGTCACAATGCGCACGCCACGTATTAATTACCCTCTTCACATTCGTTGTTTCAAATACCCTAGTCGACCTCTTTAAATACTCTTATCAGTTTTTTACCCTTGTTTTTTATCACGAACCTCACTTACTTCTTCTTCGTTGCACCTCTTCTTCGTCTTCAACCTTTCCACCAACTGTAATGACGACTTCTAAATCCTTCAACTTCTCCACCCCACCACTTTCCTCAGTAACTTCAACTTTGATAGGGATAAATGGGAAAAAAATTGCTCCAGTCCCTTTGATGGAAGAGGCTTCGCAGAAGATTGCCGAGACTCAGGTACTTATTCCTTACGCCGCTGAAAATATAGATTATGCGTTTGGTGGTCCCATCCGCTACTGTGGAGGGTCGTTTTCTTTTTCCCTTAGCCTTCCCTCAGAAAGTAAAGCCCTTATTCACAAATCTGAGGTCCGAATTGATTTCCTAAATGCTGTTTCAAAAGTATATCGAACGGGCCCTCCCCACAAAAAACTTTTGTACATTCGATAGTTCGATCGAGTAAAGACCAAATTTGGGAATCACTGGAGAGATGTAGGGATCTTCAATTTTCTACATTTATCTTGATGTGATCTATCATTCTTGGACATGTCCATATTTCTGCCCGCGGTCCATTTGTGGAATAAAGATCTACACGCAATGGAGCTTCCCTGCGGTCCCCTTTCTCCCACTCTTTTTGAAGTTGCTACAATTACCGGACTAAAACCCACAGGGGAGAAATATTTTAAGGGTGCTTTCCCCTCAGATGACTTTCTAAGATCAAAAATCGATGGGGAATCGAAAGCTTATGGACATTTCATCGAAAAACATTTTGTCGATGATCAATCGGTAGCTGTTTCTGACGAGGAGCATGTGGCTTTTCTGGTATATTGGCTCTGTACACACGTATTTTGCCCCCGCTCCATCCAAATCTCGTCCCACTTCTATAATCTTGCCTATCTCCTCCATACTGGTCAGCCTAGAGTTTGTTTGACAAAGCTTTTATTGGCCCATGTTTATACTACTTTCGATGAGGCCGTCGATATCTTGAATACCCCAAGACCCCCAGGGAATTTTTCGGGTCCCATCTGGTTTATCCAATTATGGCTTACTTCGATCTTCGAAATCATCCTTCCCCCAACATCCAAAATTTCCCCAAGTTTAAATTTAGAAGACGCTCGATTATCATCTCGCCATCCTCACCAAAAGTCCTCCGACGAGGCTAGTTATCGAGCTTACCTGAAATTTTTGTTGACCCGATTTCATTTTGAGTCAAATTTGGCCCCTTTTACCGTATATCATGGAAAAATTAGTGACAGACTTCGACGACCAACTTGGTTTAAATCGAAATTCCCCACTCTTACTCCAGGGTTACAATCGGAATTAGTAGATGTGTGGAGTAATTACTTGATCAAGGATGTTCTTGTATCGGGTTTTCAATCGAAGGACATCCAGCTCGTCATCTATTATCCCCAGCTTTTCTCGCGGTAGTTTGGTTTAAGTCAGGCTTTACCTTTTTTCTCTCTCGATACGTCCCCAAGGTCAAAATTAAATGAATCAAATGTTGGATGGGAACTTTCCAAACTGTTACCACAAAGCCCGATGCATTTCTATCCTTATGCTTTTGAGTCGAATTATCTATCTACTCTTGGTTTTTCTCAATGGTGGAAAGATTGGTTTTCACACATTCATTCTAATTTTGATATCGTCCAATCGAAATTGACTGCGCATCCTTCTCTCGTGTTGCAGGATAAATCAAAGGCAAAGAAAGGTACATACTCTCATTATCTCCAAATATCTCGGTTCGAAAATTTTTATCGAGAATGCTACAACCCCCTCAAATTAGAAGAAACCTTTTACAATGTTGTTATCTCCCTAGTTAATAAAATAGACACCAACCGATCAAACCACAAAATAATCAATCCTCGAGGAAAAACTCCGTTTGAAATGTATTGTCCTAACCATCTTCCCACTTTCCCTACAACTCCCTTTGGAATCGCCAGACCTTTAACTCATCCTAAATGGGTCCGAGAGTTGAGATCCTTGAAAGAAACTATTTCACCCAAACCTAGGAACAAAGAGATTTCAATATCGAAACTGTCCTACTTCTCTTACCTAAACCTTCCTCAAAATCTTCTTCCTCCCTGGCTTGTCCATATCGACCGAGTCAAGATTTTAACTCCATCACCTTTTGGTGAGATTTTACTACCTCTTTTAGGAG